GTACACGCCTTCTGATCCCGAAAACAAGTGGAGCAGTACAGTGTTTATGAGTTCAAAGGACCATAAAACCAAACAAACACTAGAGGCTGTCTGCACCTTTAGGCCTGTTGTTTTTCTCCTCTACTTTCCACCTTTTTGAATCATCACACGACACGGACAAAAACAAGGCAATTTAGGCTCATTTCAGACTTCTCACAATTAACATCTAAGCTTGAAATTCCCTTTCATCCAAACCCACTAATTACATTTAGCTCATTGCTCACAGGCTGCAATTTGCCCCCATATGCTTCAACAGTAGTGCGTTGATATATCAATCTGACTAATAAGAGAGAGCATAAACCAAATAAGACCACCAATGACTTCTATTACGATTACTGCACTGACGTCACAGAAATACACAGTCATCAATAACTGACTAGTTTTTAGGACACTAAAAATATGTTTATGCATATTTTTATACAATATGCATATACATGGGTTGTTAGAGACAAAGCTTTCATCAGTACGTGGATAAAGACAAGAAAGAAAGCATAAAAGCATTCATGTTTATAAGGCTGCACCATTTTCAAAACATTTGAGCCATACTGTTAAATTGCATGTTTAGTCCTCATCTTCTTATGGCTCCATGTTGGGGATCGAAATCAGGTGACGTGTATCATTATTAACTAATAAATATAATAAATACACTAGAAGTGCACCTGGAGAGGGTAAATCCCGTCAAGAACTCGGATTGTCCCAACATTTGAATGGGATCTTCCTACCACCAGACAGAAAAGTAAAACTAAGGCATTGAAACTTTGATCTGGCTTGAACGTCAACATATAAACCATAATCAGCAAAATAGCTCCATGACTTTTGCTTAGAGATCATTTCAAAAACCCTCAAATGATTAATTGACGATTGACCGATGGACACCTGCTTTTCTCAATCAATTCTTTATACTGTTTTTTCTGGATCGGTTCAAAATAAAAGCAGTGTATTTTAATGGAATACTGTTGAGATCCGAGGAGATAAAGTAATATAATCAAAGATGGTGAACAAAGGTTTGTTTACCCTTTTCTGTCTGAGCACACAGAAAAAATCCTGTTTATTCACTGAGGTATTGGATAATATTTTAAACTGTGTAGTCTTTTTCTGTATCAACATAGTGCTGCCATCTTTAGTTTGGTAAGTAAACACATTTTTTATGCTGAAAACCGTTTGTGACATCAATACATCATTATTTCTGTGTGTCACAACCTGTTTAGTTGTGATTCTTGTTTTTATGTGAATGTGTTTTTTCTCGTACTCACAAAGAGGAGAGCTGGAGAGGTTCCAGAGCAGTGGAGACTGGAAGGCTGTGGTGTCTCCGAGTTAAGCCTGCCCTAAGCCGTGTCTGCACAGGAGCACACAGAGGTGATCAGAGACAAAACAGTCATTAGTGTCCTGAAATGAGGCAGAAAAAACAGAAAGGGTGTCTCTGCATTGTACTGGGACTTTGAGGTAAAAGCACAATGACCCATGAAGATACTGTGATGCGAAGAAATAATTCAGGTGGATTAACCCAACGTTTTTAAAACACTTACATTACAGGCCTAATGCTGTTTTTTCCATTAGCATAACCTTCTTTCCAGAGCACATGGGTATTTGGGACACAACATGGAGCTATTTCACTTTCACCCATCCTCCTCATTTTGTTTGCTTAATTAGACCTATTTTACCTTTTTATGCTGAAAAAGAAAACGAGAAAATGGTAACTGCAAGCACAAACGCTGCATGCAGTAGGATCATACAGCCAAGACATCATTAGGAAAAACTCGCGTGATTTCATTATCAGGTTTTTTTCATCTTTCCAATCCTAATCTTGTATTTGGCAAATAAATAAAATACACGAATTTATCGTGCGCCTTGGTCACTTGTGTATTACATTATCAACCGTAACAACCTTGATTTCAAATCATAGGCTGTACTTCAAATCTATGTATTGGGTTTTGCTCAAAGTAAAACCCTATACACTACTGCCTCCTTGTGGACATGCTTGTCAACAACAAGAAAAAAAACAAACTGCACTCAACTGTCACAATTTTCTATTAGAATAATTAATTGTATGTTTAATTGTATGTTGCTAGACTAAAACAATGCGATTTTTGGGTATTTTTTGGTATCTTTTAATTAATCATTGACTTTATGTAGTAACTTCAACAGCACAGCATTTCTATTATCATAACACTTTTTTTACTCATAGAATGTGATGTAGTTATTTTTAGTATTACATTTTGCTGAAAGAATACGTTAAACAGTTGTAGATATCTAGAGCTTGTAAATCACACAGACTTTCACTAACGTTGTTTATTTTATTATATTTTTAATTAATCTGTCAGTGAACAGAAGATTTTTCAATAAGTAAATTTGACTGACAAAATTGGTCGCTGGATTATGAATTATACATAATCGATTGCAAAAATAGTAGAGAACTAAACCAACTATTCGATTAATTCCTACGATAAATGAAACAAAGACGTTAAGTGATATATCTATCAATCAATCAATCAATCAAAGTTTATTTGTAGAGCGCCTTTCATACACATGGCAACACAAAGCGCTTCACAGTCCACATCACAAATCATCACATAAAACAAACACCAGAATCACAATTAAAACATTAAAATCACACAAAAGATTAAAACACAATTAAAACATTAAAATCACACAAAAGAATAAAACCATTAAAACTTTCAAAATTACACAAGAAATTTAAAAAAATAAATAAATGACAGCAGTGCATTAAAAATGGAGATAAAATCCTTCAGTTGTATGCACAGGCAAACAGAACAGTCTTTAACCTGGATTTGAACATTGACAGAGTAGACGCCTCCCTCACATTTTCAGGGAGATTGTTCCAGATCTTAGCTGCATGGATCTGAAACGCAGCCTCCCCATGTTTGGTTCTCACTCTGGGCACCAGCAGGAGGCCAGTCCCTGTGCTCCTCAGAGTCCGGGCCGGTTCATATGACACCAACATGTCACTAATGTATTCTGGTGCAAGGCCATGGAGAGACTTGTACACAAGCAGAGCCGTTTTAAAATCTATTCTTTGAGCCACAGGAAGCCAGTGCAGAGACCTGAGGACCGGACTAATATGGTCATACTTCCTGGTTCCTGTCAGGACTCTAGCTGCTGCATTTTGGATGTACTGCAGCTGCTTACAGGTCTGTTTGGACAGACCTGTGAGCAGGCCATTGCAGTAGTCTAGCCTGCTGGAGACAAATGCATGGACAAGAATCTCCAAGTCTGCCCTGGACACTATATTTCTAACTTTGGCAATGTTCTTCAGATGGTAAAAAGCTGTTGATGTTATTGATTTTATGTGGCTATTGAAATTTAGGTCTGAGTCCAGTATTACCCCCAAATTTCTGACCTTGTCTGAAGGAAGTAGGGAGAGAGACTGAAGTTGACAAATGACGCCCTCTCTTTGTTTCTGGGGACCAAAGACAATGATTTCGGTTTTGTCTGTATTTAGCTGGAGGAAATTATTTTGCATCCACTACTGTCTTTTGCATCTACTCCGTCTTACGCATTTATATGTACATTATGATTTTTTTCCACCTTTATTTTCTTACGTTCCCTGAAGGCAGCAACACACCCAAATTTCTTCCCACATCCGGGGACTTGTGCGTACGGAAAGTGGGTAAAGAGGGCAGCGGTGGAGAGCGGTAGAAAGGCGGACTAATGACAGCTGTCAGCGAACAAAAACACTGGCAATCGGTGACTCTCGACCCAATGGATCCCTAACCACACAGCGACACAAACTGGACTTCACTCAGGACCATCGCTGCTGGACCAGAGCTGTGTGGAAGAAGGTATGTGACCCGTGCCATTCGTCCTACCCAGACAGCCTGTGTATGGGCTAGCCACACAAGCTAACCCCAGCTAACACAGGCTACACTGATCAGCTAGCCTCCAGTAAACTGCTAGCACCCTGGGAATGTCTTCTGTGCTTGAGACATCAGTTGTAGAAACGAGACCGATATGTGGTGTCTATTCTTGTCCAGTGTTGCCTTATGGGAAGCCCGTGTATGTAGTTAACCCCATGGCTTTACCTGAGCTAATATCCATAGACATTTCGGGAGGACGACTTGGTAAGATAGCAAATCAGGTTAGTTAGCACTTCTTCCACTGTCTGTGAGCTGGTGCTAGCGTTTAAGTTCAGGTGATCCCTTTTGCACATCTATCACTAACTAGGATCATGTTTAGTAGCAGCTATCTCCATAAATCAGTAAAATCCAAAGGTCAGCTACTTCTTATAAAGCTATTACCAAAACAAAGCGTGAATATACTTGTTGTGGGTGCGCTGCTATTGTCAAGAGACCATCTAAAACTAATTTACATTGGGTATTTGCAAGGAAAAAAAGATTAGTTATGATGAGCTATTTAGCAACACTAGAGTATACTGTAGCTGGCCAGGCAGGCATACTTTCCCTTTCAATGATCATTTATCTTGTGCTTTATCAGTATACTATAATAAAGTCATGCCCTATGTATTTTGAAATTAACCAGCTGCTCAGTATGCCTGTTGAGTCCTCTCTGACTCAGCCAGATATTTATGTTCACCCCATGGTTGCCCCAGTATTGTACATTTACTTTGGCGGTTTGGTTTTTAGACAAAGTACAGGGAGAGGTGTGAAAAATGACAATATTTTGTGTCCTATGCCAAATATTTACTTTATTGCATACATTATTTAAAAGCTGTGTTAAAAATGTGTTTTATGGCCCCGCTCTGGCAAGGCATGTTTCTTCTCCGCTTGTGTTTATCCACAGCTCTTGAATGTGCCAACCATGAGTGAGCAATGTTTTTGCTGGAGTGGATGATGTGGTTGTGTTGTATATGGGAAAAATAAATTTCCGTTTCTCTCCATTAACAAAACACTGTTGTCTCTTTGTATTTGTTAGATTTTTAATAAATACTTGGGAGCATAACTACACAGCATCACTGGTGGGTCTGACGTTGGAGCGTCGGCACCATGGGGACACAAGGCTGCGGCAGGAAGCGTGCCCCCATCAAAGATCGGTTCTCTGCAGAAGATGAAGCTCTGAGTAGTATTGCAAGAGAGGTAAGCTAAAACCATAACACTCATATCTCCATTCATAAACATATCAGTCATCTGGGATACTGTTTCTCAATTTAGTAACTGGGAAATTAAAACATCAATCCAAATGCTTTATCCAGATCCTTATTCTGCCTATTAAACAGACATTATTGGAAAAGACAGTCTAAACTTGGACAGAGATTTGATTTCCTATACAATAAACATTACATTTTGACTAACTGACTTCTCTATAAAGCAGAATATAATGTGTGTACTATATATAATACATTTGAATACTTCAATGATCTGTGCCTAAAGTAATGACACCATACAATACTAGTTTTCAAAGCCATTTTAAAAACGACCAAATTAGTCTATTCTTTTTAAAGGGTTTGTCACTTGTTAAATGAGTAACTAGTTTTTGAGTGTCTACAGTGAGCTTGTCACAACATTCATCATAATTCTACTAAATTTAACTTAATTGTACGTATTGTGGACCTGTCGGCTTATTTTTGGCATTGCTTTAACAACTTTTGGACGCTTTTTGTCCAGGTCAAGTTCTCTCAACTGCTTCACTTTTCAATCTTCGCAACAGCATTTATTTACAAGTCAAAAACATTACCTCTCTTGCGTATTGAAGGCGTTTTCTTAGCGACACTAAACTCGGGTGGTCAAGGAAAAGTGCTGTACAAATTGAAATGCCGCTCTACAGGTTGGACGAGTCGGCGTGTGTGTAGTTGAACCAGGTGGAGGCAGCTGGATGAGGACCACAGCGGCGCTGACATGATTTGTAGTGTTTTTCTTTTTGGGGGGAAAACGCAGGCGGAGGAGGAGTTGTGCGGCCTGTAACAACTTGCCCAAGATTATTCCCTTTGGTTCAGCTGCGGCTTGTCATTCCTTTGGCATGCTTCAGAGTGGGAATAATATATGTACAATGCAAATTCATTATGTTCAAAGTGTGAAGGATTCTGTGTCTGCGAGGCACAAACATCCACAGCCTTTTTTAGGGACGTGTGAAAAGTCAAACTCAAAATACCAAATAAATGTACGTTTTAAAAAGTAATGCAATTTTTCAGTTGTATGCACAGCTAAACGGAACTGATTTTAACCTGGAGAATAGGGAGCTTTATGGAGCCCATAAACGTAATGTCAAAATCTATTTGTGAAATGCACGTAGCATGTCACTGTGCAACCAATGGTTTTTGTAGTTGTGTATGTACCTTTTCTCTGTGCTGCTCTGCAACATTTTTGATGAATTGTAACCAGGCATGATGGCATTGCCAACGTTCAAATAGTCCAATCCTACACATTGTAAAAGATAAAGCTATAGGACAAATACTTTTCTAAGCATAAGCCGGAAGTTACTTTTTAATGCACCTATAAGTATAAATACATATTTTTTATCTTGTAGAATTAACTACATTTTTGACCTTTTCCAGTCTTTATTCTGGTCCAATTCCGAATATTGAAAGCCAAATATTTCCAGGTGCTCCATAAACCTCTCACTATCTCCAACTTATTCCAGAAGTTGTTTTTACGCTGTTAGAAAGTGATTCAGTGCCTCATTCTTGCAGACTGAAAGCACAAGGCTCCATTTGCTCTTTATAGTCATGACATCCAATCATAGAAACATGAGTCACCCGACACTCCCAGCCAGCTCCTCCTGAACGCTCAACGTCTTTGTGCCGCGACAAACTGGAGATTAGATCAACTGTACTCCGAGTTCACGGGGTCAGCGGCCGATACTGGTGAACATCAACATTCCTGCTCCGTCGCTCCAATCGCTGCTGCTACTTTTATAGGAGTTAGTAACACACGTCTCCGCGGCTGGCATGGGACGCTGCTGGGGATGAATTTGAGCCTGTGTCATCCCACACACTTTGGAAAGTTCTAATGTTACGAGTGTGTGTGGTTCATTTGAACGCGACACACAGTCAGCTGGAGGTGACTAGACTAAATGATTCTTAAGGTTTCTACTGCAGCAAGTATGGCTTTAGGGAAATATTTTAAAGTAAGATTATATGAACTAAACAAGGACTCAAACACTGGGGTAAACTAGGGCAATGCGAGACTAGACATGGTATAAGAAAAGTGCTGAGCCATGAGAAATCAGGGCAAACTACATCAGTATAGATTTTTAGGGGGGACTAAACTGGGAGGTTAAATGATCCCACAGCCAAACTACCTACTCATTGTGTGTGTTTAAAGGCTGTGGGATTTGCAACTAATAAATTGTTGAAATAATTGTCAACTATTTTACTATTTTGGAATCAGAATTATTCCTTCTACATAGACTTAAACATGCAGAAAAGAGGTTTTATGTCTGGGATTTTCATATAACACCTGCAGAAAAAATTGAGAATGGGTTATTTGATTAAAGTCGGTGTGTAAAAAATCTTGATTGGTTTGCTTTGTTTTGGTCAAATATATGAAAAATCTCATTCAGTGACCTTTTAGGGATCTGAACAGCTTATACAATTATCAAACTAATGTTACTGTTAATTACAGCCCTGGTTTTATATTCATATTGCATGCTCTTGCCAAAATCTGCTCTGTCTGGTGCACGCTGGGGTACTTTTGCACATCTATTCCAATGTGGTTTTACAGCAAATAATCTGAATCTTCTGCCTAATGCGGTTCTTACACTGTCATATGCTACCATTAGCAATAAGGAGAAAATGTTCATAATATTTAATGAAAGATCGCCCTAAAACTGTTAATAATAAACAGCCTCTGCCTCAGACCACAGCGAGGTTTGTAGTCCGTATAATTTAGTTGCTGATATCATTTGTCCTCAATAGCTTCATGAAGTGTCATCCTTCTGTTTCCATCATTGTCCAGTGTTTATGTCAGTCTGGATCCAACACCACAGTAAACACAGAGACCCTCTGATCCCCTTCATCCCCAGATAATACGGGCCTTTTAGCAGTTGGCGTAGTTTATTTTAAACACTCACCAACACTGAATAAAGTGCTTGTTGTAAAAATGCCATTTCAATATTGTTCAGTAAAAGCAGATGTGCTGTATGAAGGAAAATAAATGTAATGCCAGTCCCCCTTTCTGCTTCAATCCGTAATTGTAATTCTGTTTTTTTTTTAAACACAAGAACATTAAGGCTATGCGTTCTATGTGTATTTTCCTTAAGATTCCATCCTTGCTCAATGATAATGTTTTCTCTAAGCTCCTAACAGTACCATTGATTTGTTTTACATTGGAACAATCCTCAGTCCAAAGCATCAGTTCCAGTTCCCGTTGAATTGATCAGTGGCTATTTAATCATTGTAATCAATCGTACTGAATACTTTTAGCATCTTCTTGTACCACCTCCACAGCCTTAGACCTCCTGCATAGCTGTGTCTGCCTCCTGGTCGTCGGCTGGAGCTGGGCTGGAGCTGCTCATGTCTCTCTCTGTGCCTGATGTGGTGGAGGAGCAGAGGCTATAGATAGGCCTCCGTCTGAGCTCAGCTGGGGGGGCGGGTCAGACTCAGACAGCAGGACAGGTGCAGAGTCTGAGTGATCATTGAGACCAATCTTACTTTTTAGTTCAGATAGGATGGGCCGCTTGAAATAGTGCTGATGAGATTTGTACCACCTGAGGGAATGAAACGCACACAAAATGCAGAAGAACTATTATAGACTTTCTAAGGTCTGGGCCTTAGTCGGACATTGGAAAATTGTCCATCAACTCTCCCCATATTGATCCATGTTCTTTTGTTTTGAAAATTGGCTGTAGAGTAGAGTGGACCTATCCATCAATCCATTTTCTTCCCCTTAATCCATTTCTGGGTCGGGGGGTGGCAGTCAGAGCTGCAACGACAGCAGACATCGGTGGGAGTCTTGAAGTAGGTCTGGTGGTGGGCTCGAACCCAGGACCTTCAGGCCCAAAGGCTAATACTGCCCAGAAATTAAAGAATTTAATAAAACATAAAGCCCATTTTGTCATTGTAAACTGATTAGCTTGAATTGAGATATGTAAACTATTGGCCCCTTTTTTATACTTATTGTTCAATAATTGATTGAAGAAACTACATTTTATTTGCCTGAAAATTTCTAGTTTAATGCAATTTATTTTTTAGTAATTTTTTTGTAAGTTTTTGCTGTAGAGTTGAACATTTATGACTAAATATTACTGTGTTCTGTTTATTTCCTCCTAGTTCTTTCAATTAAATGGAGACACCCCCCTTTACTGTGGTTATGCTGCTATATTGTTTTTTTTTTTACGCAATATTTTGTCCGTCCAAATGCTATCGTACCTACAAGCATCCACAGTTTAATCAATCCGTGTCTTTTAAAACAGCATTAAAAACATATCTTGTCTAAGTGGCCTCTGATGCTACAAACTAATGCATTATTTGATTCTATTGCTTTTACACACAGTACACTGTTTATACTGGCTGTTATAGCATATCGATTGCTGTTACGTCACTGGCTCGTGCTGGATGAGAATAGGCCTGTGCCCACGGGTCTCTGGCACTGCAGATAAGACGGAGCAGGAATGCTGTCTGAAGATACTGTGTACAATATACTTATAGTATTTATGGACTGTTTTCCACTAAAGATTAAGGTAGACTATTGATGTTGAACTGTTGAACTCACTGTTGCTGCAGCTGGAGAGCAGTGGCGTTGTGAGTGTTGTTTTGATGTAATCTTTCATAGTTTTCAAAAATGACCGCTACTTCTACAGCACTGCCCAAAATATGACCAATAGAGCAGTATTCTGAGCAGTTTAACACTTAAAATGAGGTACAATTCCCCTCCAAATGTACACATTTAATTTAGCCATGTATTTTTCATGTATTACTATTTCACGAATTGATCAATACATATGTTTAATGATTGACTACATCCTATCAACTGATCATAAGTTTGTGTAATATTTGAGCAACTTTCTTTTATGGATCAGTGATGTCAAATTAAATGCAACCAACAAACGTTCCAGGTTTTAAACAGTGTAATTTATTGAAAAAGTGTGTGACAGACAGTAAATCACATCATATAAGTCACTTCGTTTTTTTTTTTTTTTTACGGCGTCAGCTATATTGCACTGAAACGGCTGCATTTTATGAACACAAATTTGACATAATGGAAAGCTTGAATACAAATGGTGGTTTCCAGAAATAGTCGCTTCACTCTTCTTCCAGGGTACTTTTCTAAATTATCCATAAACATCCTTTGCCTGGGGGTAAGTTGCTTTTAATACTCCCCCTGGACTTGTTTAATGACGCTGTTTTGCTCTCATCATTTCCAAACTCATCTGTCCTATTGTGAAATGCCAGTGTTTACCAGCACCGTCCTCTGCTTTGGTTCTGTGTGTTTGTTTGTGCTGGGATGGAATTTCCCCCAAGAGGTCATTGAATTAACCCCCTCAGACTGATGGGTACCACATGTGAGTGACGGAGCATCCCACGCACTCAAACGGGACCATTGGATTCATTATTTATCTGAAGGACAAAATAAAGTGCTTCATAAGAAAACTGATGATTGTATTGATGTTCCCAAAGTGATTAGTTGTGATTGTTGTTGGTAAAATATTGAAAAATTTTGGAGTCATAAGAGGTGAATGTCAACATGCTAGATGCTGTTTTGATCATGTGATCCCTCCCTCTACTTTGGGAGGTTTGAGTACAACTGTCAACAGACCAGCAGCAGTCACAAAGCTCAGAGCAGACACATTTGGATCTGTTTGACTTGATTAAAAATAGAAATTATTAACGTCTTTGATAATATGGTCTAGTTACCTACTACTAGATTGGAATCAAACAAACCCCGCAGCAATTTCAAAGACTGCAGGACTTGCATTTTTTCATTCACCATTGTCTCCATTACACTGTAAAACTACACATTATTAACTATAGTCCTTAGTTTATTGTATATGGGACAAAGCCAGTCTGTCTTTGAGGTCTTTAATCATGATTATATTTGGTCACTGTATGACAAAAATCTTTAAAAAAATAACAATGTATTCAAATCCATGTAGCGAGTTCCTTGGTACATCGCCTCTGTCACATCTTTAGATCAGCTTTTTCAGTGAAATATCAAGCTCAGTATTGTCTAATAAGATGAAGGCAGCATGTTGTGGTCTGATTTGCTCACGCAAATGTTACTTAAACAACAAAGACGTTTCCTGTTGGGACAAGCAGAATGTATTATGTGGGAAACAAAGTTAGGGATTCCAGTTTAAAACTAATAATAATTTCTTTTGAATCAAGCCCATTAAAACTGAATAGAAATGTTGTTATTTTTTTTTTAGAATTGCTCAAAATATTTATTTTCAAAATAACTTTTTTAGATCTAGCTTTCATGACATATTATAGTATTAAACCGTGCTACATTAGCCTGAGGTTTGGTCGCTCACAGAAGCTCAAGAGACGACAAAAGTGGACCAACAGGATGCATTTTTAGTGATTTACCAGTGCACATACAGTACATCTGTGAATAGCAAGTCCAAGTTATGAGCCATACATTGAGCCGTACAGTGACACCATAACACCAGAAGCTCTTTCATGATGTCACCCATTATCTTTCCTCCTGACTGTTGAATTGATATAAAACTGGTCCCAAGTCCATTTATTAGATCTGCTATCTGTGTCTTTGGGTGTGTCTTGATAAAACATTCTTGTCTTTCAATTTCCTGGTTGTTGACAAGTGTGTTCATGATTGTGTCACAGGCGGAGGCACGGCTGGCGGCGAAGAGGGCAGCTCGGGCCGAGGCCAGAGACATCAGGATGAGAGAGCTGGAAAGGCAACAGAAAGAGGTACTCCAACGGCCCGGGACAATCAACAGTCCAATTACGAAAGCTGTTTTATCAGTCTGCAGTTAAAGGGCTGCCAATGCTTCTTTTAGAGTCAATTAATGATCTTATGTCTGTTCTTTATTCCTCATAAACATATATATATTTATCCATACTATATGAATGATCTTTTTCATCATCAAATTGCACAGTAGATAAATGTATAAACTCAAAGATTTGTTGATTAGTTTCAGCAGTATATGGCAAAAAAAATAACGCAGAGAACGACCAGTGTCATTGTAACTTTTTCTATGGCTTCTATGGAAGGACGAGTCTCTTCCCACTGATATTATGGAGTTTATTAAAGTTAGCCTGTTTAGCTTCTTTTCAACCTTTCATTATGCAGCCATGTCTAAATTTCACGCTTTCCAGATATCATTCACTGGTTACTACACTTAATGAACGTCCTGTGTGGTGATTTACAGCCGACAAAGCAACTGCTGATGCTTTAAAGGTGGCTCATACATTGGAAAGCCCATAACCATATAAATATTAGTCTGTGCAGCCTACTTATTCTTCTTATGGTGAACAAAGAATAAACTATGGCTGTGTTAAATGTCAGTGACCTATGCAAAACAATCCCAAAATAACCGTGCCACCCACAATCAGCATGATGTAACAGATTGTAAAAATGTTATAGCATACATTATTGGCGAGCAGGATTCCAGATTAGGAGGTATTGTTTACATTAGATTACATTTCATTCATTTTCAGAGTTATTTAGGGTAATTCCACTATTGGACTAAATTAAATTGGCAGCTACTGATCTAATAACTGACTATTAACAAGATATGCATGATTTAAGAGGGATTTTTTATTTTCTTTTTTTATACTTATATTGACCCAGTAGCTTTATGAATGGTTAGTATGGCACTTTGACTTTCCATTACAGTGCTCTCTGAGATGCTATAGGATCAGAAAAATACTATAAAACACTGTAGACACAACCGGGATCAGAGCCTTAAGGACAATGCTGACCACTTATACAGCCACAAGGTCAAATGTGCAAAGATATAAAAAACAAAAATCCACATCAAAAGTTACATAATACCAGTGTTTGAACATGTTTTAATGCCCTTACTGAAAAATCTGTGCATTTCGGTCAATTTACCTAACTTATAATGAAGTTGGGTTTTGTACCGTCAGGCTCAATAAATCCTTTATTAGAGGCTTACTGTGATTGATTGTCCCACAGCGTCCCATGGAGTTTCACAGATGCCTTTTCAACACTGTATAACGTATTTTGTCCCAATGTCAAAACACACAACCCAGAATATGATGGAAAGTGCTGCATGTCTACAGATAAACCCCGGCTTTCTATTCCTGACGTAAATGCCGCTAGTTTTTTCTCCTCAGCAGTTTCTGAGAGGCCAATGATTGTATGTTTTTCCTGGCACTTGTGTCCGCACAGCTCGCGTCCCACCGCCACTCCAGCAGCAGTAACAGAAAATGGGGTCAGATCCACCAGTGGATGGTATGGCCCGGCCCTGGACTGACTTTGCACTAACCAGGGATGGGAATACTGACAAAGCTGAATGACATTCTCAATGTTTTTTTGGGAAATATTACTACTGAGGATCAATATTGAGAAATCTCTTAAGAAAAAAGCTAATTTGGACAGCAACAGTAATACAAATAATACTTTTTATTTCCTTCGGCAAAATAATCTGCTATATAATTTATTAGTTTGTATTCATAAATGTGGATCAATCAATTATGAAATATCAGAAATTGTACATATTTTTTGTCAAACGTTCACAAATTTAATGTTTTCAATAGTTGCAAGCATAGACCAATCACTTTGCTCCAGAAGTTTTAGTTCGTATTATTAATAGAATTGTTTGTTTAACGTTTTTGACTATTTTGTTCCTGATTAGAGCAGTTCAAATTAATAATTTCAACAGCTTATGCAATATCGACTATGTATTGCCCAGCTCTCGCACTAACCGCCTGTGATGTGAAATCTAGAGCCACACAGAATCTCACTGTGAAAAAATGTGTTTATTTGCTTTGGATTCTCTGAAACGCTGAAACTGTTTGTGAACCGGACCTCGGCCTTTGCCTTCATTTAGGTTTTGGTTTTGGTGAAACTGCATGCAACTGCGGTCAGGACCTCTCGCTGAGCTTACCGTGAATCCAAATGCCTGCGTTTTTAAAAAAAAGTATTTGCATGTATTGTGTGTGCAGTCTATTTGAATATTTTTATAAGCATCTTTTACTTTGCTTGCAGTAATAGTAGTATGTATTTAAAGTTTTGCTGGAGTGGGTGATTATGCCTGTATAAGAAACTGGATTTTGCTTTGTCTGAATTAAGGCATAATCTGGTATTGGTTAGACTACTCTATGACCACATAGTTGTATAGAAGTACCACAGTTTAAGAAGCGTGGGTAAAATCATAGAATAACTAAAATAAGAATTGCTTCTTTTGCTTATATTTTCTGAACTTCCAGCTTGAGTTCTGTATGAAATGCTCTCTTTTCAAGCTTGCTGAAAAGACGGTCTCTTGATTGAAATGAAGTATTTTTGCACGGTGTGGACTTTTGTGCAGTGTCATGCGTTTTGTCATATTTCACCTCCTGCTCTGTCGTTTGTAATCGCCCCCATCCTTCCTTCCTGACTCCAGGCTGATTCTGAAAAGGCCCGGACCTCTAGTGTCAGCAGGTCCAGCAGTCGCAGTCATCACCGGGTCGGTATCTAGCCACCACACTTCCTCCTTTTCTCTCTTAATTTCCCTTGTCTTGTTTTCCCAATAAGCCTTTTTATACATTTTCACCATGTGCCTGTTTTCCTATACTTGGGCTGCTTCAATCATTCAATTCATTCTTTTGAGGTATATAGTTTTTCAGGTCTAAAAATTACCTTGTTTATGTAGTAAGAAGTCATTCTTATGTCATTGTGTATATTACTGTATGTACAAGATTTGAAATGAAAAGCGTTATCTAATTTCTGTATAGAGGCTTGTAAGTATTTGTGGACAAACATATTTGGAAACCGTAGGCGAAGCTTTTTACGTGCTCTCAAAGCAGTTTAAGTGTCCAGTAAGAGCACAATGGGGTTGCTTTAATCCGTGTGTTAATCCCTGGTCTCTTGTGTCTCGTCTGGTTTTCTGCTGCTGACTCGGTGTTTCCACGTCAACAGGGCAAAGACGATGACGTCACGTCGGTGCGCAGCTACAGGGTGCGTAGAGATACACCCCTCAGGATTATTCACCCCTTTGCCCACTTAAGATCCGCTTCAGCTGCTGCTGTCGGCTCAAACATGAGCGTCTCTGAATGACATATAGGCTAATCTCCATTTAGACTTATGACATGTCACTGGTTTAAGACTGTGATGGAGAATGACATTGTCTCTTTTTGTTTTGAAGTCCACCTCCTCGGCCCTACAGAACCTGGGCTCCACTTACTCCTCCTCCCGTAGAAAAGACCTGCTGGTGCGTGTAGTGTGCAGCTGTGCATGTGTGTGCCCTCATGATTGGAATAGAAAAATGTTCCACTGAGTTTTAAATCACAAACCTTAAACAGTGCATGATAATCACAGTTCTCCTAATCCTGCAAAACAATTGGCCAAGAAATGCTTTAATGTGTTGTTTATACTCGGTTATTATAGATGGCTCAGACTTGTAGCTAACTCGACTCATCATTATCCAAGGTGTGGAGTTGTATAGGGGTAGATTTTAGTTTTAAGGTTAAACATGATGTGAATCTTCTCGATCCATGGACTTTCAAAGGATTTCCAGTTTTCTTACAAGATGTATGAACAGGCATGATCTGAAGGATGCATGCGTGACTGCTTTTAGAAGTCACTGTTTGATCCTACTGACATGTAGACGAGCAGAGTCAAGAAATGTGGCCACTGCTTTATGTCAGTTCAGTGTACTATATTTGATCGCCTATCTATAAACATTGATCTTTTCAGTTGTCATTAAGATCAGACTGTGCTTTTGCCTGAGCTTACCCATTCTCACCTTTTTACTCTTGTTCTTTAGTGAATATTCCTAACAAAACCCTAACATTAGGGGAAACGCTATGACTGTGAGTTTCATGTCTTCTTACATTTTCTCTCCTTCTCTTCAGTCTGACAGTCTTTCCACCACCAGCTCTGCCCTCAAGAGCTCCCGGTCCACTGTATGTACCCCACCATCACATGTCTGTCCTTTTCTTACGTGTTGTCCTTCCTCTTATTTCCAGTGTTTTGATTGTAGAGTTCTGTGTACAATGACCTCCATGGCCATAGAAAGTCTTCCTCCACTACTTCCTCCAGGAAAGATTTATTGGTCAGTGCTTTTCTGTTGAAAGGATGTGCTGATAAAATGAGGATTGTGGTTTCTACATTCACCTAATAATTCCTAATAGTGCATTGGATTGGTTGTTTTAACTCACTCTTAAACAGCTTTTCTAGGATTAGATTCACTTGATGCTATAAGGCAGTGTCATTTTCGGAATAACTTCTCATGGCATTGCATATCGGATCTAACACGGTTTTGTTTTGATGGATCTGCCATCAGGTTGTGTGTCTGTGGGTGTGCATCACTGCAGCATGCTTCAATACAGACAGGATGTTTTAATGTGTCTACGTATTAACTTTTGTATATGCTGATTAGGTTTTTGTAATAAAAGTTTGATACCCTGTTTTTTATGACACATTTGTTGATAACTTCTTGCGGGTATTTTTGATACATTTACTGCAAAACCTAGTATCAATACCAGCTAAATACGATTTGTCCTGGCTTTCCTTGCATTCATTAACTTAAGCATGGAATCCTAATCCTTAGTTTTCAACACATTGCACGACTGGAGCAGACAAAAGCGTAGTGTGGATTTTTTTTTAGATTGAAGTCAAGCGCTCTAGTGGTGTTTGAGATGTTTTCATGTTTTGCTTCCAGACTGGACTATACCACGATCAAAGGAACTACTCCACTTTAACGAAGACCAAACCGGCCTCCTCCGTCTCGTCCTATCAGCCGCGGGTCGGTGCTCCGTTACCTGCACAAATGCCAGCGAGTTCAAAGTTTTAGTTTCAGATTTCCTTTTTATAGTCATTCAGGTTTTTGTATTTAGGAGTTGACGTTAAGCAGCTGAATTCATAAAAGGTGATCACTGACTTAATGGGCAGTTGAATTCATGCAAAGTACTGGGCTCTAAACTTTTTGAGCTATTGCTTACTGATAGTGGGAGTTAAGAAGAAAATAACTAATTGAAGCCAACCCAGTTTGACAAATCTTTGGAGAAATGTGAGTGCTTTGTGTAGGTCATTTGTTGAATATCAAGAAAGGAATTGTCCAAGCCTGGGGGGCAAAAGCTCTCACGTCTCCTACTGTCATGTATTACTGATTTGACACAGTGGTAATGATGTAGACGCGTCAGCTGTTCACACTAGTTCTTTTCCTATCTCCTCCAACGGCTTTCCCCTTGACTAAAACATTATCACATGTCTTCACTTTTCCTTTTGGCCTTAAACACTTCTCTGTCAGCAGATTTCAAGTTTTCTTTCCCCCTGACTACAGCTGTTCTAGTCCCCTCACGTAGCTCTGTCTGTTCCGCTTTCTATGACTACTTTATGTTGCTACTTTTCCGTCTTGTGGACAGGCGACCACCATCACCAGCACCACACCCATCTCCTCTGCCGCCTCCACTGCTGGCACTTCTCTGTCCCGCAGCCAGAGCATGGTCAGTCTGGTGCACTGTTAGACCTTTAGTCTCTCATGGGAGCTAACCCACCTCTGTATTCATCTGATAGCCAGGCCCAAGTGGTCTGGAGTGGGCTATATTTAAACCGAGGGCACTCAAAGGTGTTAAGAATGAGATTCGTACTTGACTTGGATAAAGCCAGATATAAATGGTCTATTTTTGATTTACTGTTTATTAGTCTAGATTTTACTACAATTTTAGTGACACTGATGTCTTGGAATTTCAAAATATTACTATAAAATTCCTTTAAACATTATTATCTACAAACTACAGACTAGACTTTGTCAATGTCAAATTTAATGATTAAATTCAAATGCCCCTTTTACCACAAGATCAAATGCAGATCCAGAAGACGAAATAGAAAAGTATGACTATATATTGCATTTTGCTTATAATGTGGCTACATATGTTAATTATTCCTGATTTTAATAATTTAATTAATTTTAGTTTCATTTTATTTCTATTTATACAAACAGCCTCCTGTCTGTTAGAAGGTTTTTCCGAGTCATTGTCCTGATTCAGCGACAGTGTGTTTTGCCAATGATTCACATCTCCTGTGTGTTCTGCTGAGTCCTGTTTGTCTCCCACGTTCTGCCCCCAGGCCTCTCTTTATGATGACAACGCTGCTCTGTACGGCCTGGACAACAGTTCACGAGCTGTAAGTCCCTCAACAGACCTTGTTTGATCCAGTTTAGCATGATATAAACAAAGTACTAATACATTACAAAAAATGATTATGGCAGCCGTATTTACTACCCATTTGGTTGAGACATTTAAATGGGATACAAATAATTGTATTTTGGTCATCCAAAATCAAACGGAACACATGAAATACAACTAATAAATTAGTCATTGGTCCATGAGATTAATGTCCAGGATCATCTCTTTTCCTTTGACCCTCCTAAATATACAAGGGAATATTTAAATCATCACTTTTTTTTTATGAATCACTGTAGAAATGACTAGAAGCTTGTGCATTAGAGTATTCAAACTTTATTACGTTTTATAATGTTGATGAAAGCGCATGCTGTTCGAGAACAAACATGTGCCCATGTCCAAAATGTTAAAAATAAACTGTAAATTTGTTAGTATTAACCATGAGGATTTTGTTATCCTTGTTTATTGGCGTTTTGGATTTGTCACGGCTATAAACAGTGTGATACAGCGCTGAGCAATGTTGCCAACCTTCGCCAACATTGCAATTAGCTTTACAATTTCAATTGGATTCTGTCAGTAGTAGTTTTGATACTAAAATTCCAAACTATTCTCTACTATTGGTCAATCCCATTTTCGAAACCACAGTGTACTTTAAAACTTAGATGCATATTTTGAACATGAACAACAATACAACAGATAGTAGATCCTTGTGGTAATGGTGCCACAAGATTTGATAGTGGTCTAGCTTTTTCATTGCCAACTCCAGTCTCATCTGAGAAGTGCGCTAAAGACATGCCCAGTCACTAGAGTAGTCGGCTAAAAAGGGGCTGTGGCAAAAGCACTCAATATCTGACCTAATCTGTACTCTCAAAGCTTTGGGCATAAAATAAAGAACAGTATTAACTCTCCATTCTTCAATACTTTTCTCTGACTTTAATTTCAGTAAATACCAAAATCTTAAGCAACATGTCTCCATACCTTTTGTTCATTGCTTCTCCCTATTGAAATCCTTGTAATTTAGATCAAATAATTGGTCACATAATACAAGACTAAGAAACCATAGACTGACTAATTGACTACAGACAGACTGCCCTACTTGGAAAATCTCACATGTTGCCTGTTTTTGTGAGTTCACAAAGTATTGATACGGGAAAGAAAGGTAGCGATTGATATCTGATGAATACTTTTTCACACGGCATTTTCCCATAGCATCTCTGTTAGCTTCATAGTGGCTCTGTATGTTCACTCACTCCATCCCCTGCCCTGTCTCAGCCCTCTGAATACAGCTGGTACTCCTCTGGGGCCAGTTCCACTCGCAGCAGCCCTGTGGTGAGCCCTGACCACGCCGCACAACCGCATGACGTCCGCTAACACCTCCCAACACATCCACGCGGCTAACACTGACTGGAAGAAGCATGCGGCCATTTACTAACGATGGATGAAAATAGAAAAACGTTGGCTTACTTGAGGAAACATAGCTGTGAACTGTAACTGTGATGAGTTTTGCAGCCTTGCCTTGGTTAGTGATTGTAAAAGAAGGGCTGGAAAATCTGGGTTATGCATTTGTCTCTGCGCAGTAATGTGTTTTTGCAGGTTGCCGCAGAAGAAATGTGGTTGTTAGCGCTAGCATGTGAGAATATTTAGTCGTTATAGATCATATTGGATTTCATTGGGCGTGTTCCAAGTTTTTCAGCTGCATGTCGTTTGGATAGCATGAATGGAAATCTAAATATGCACACTTTTAATTCAGTTCTGTTGACTTTATGATTAGTACCACCAGGGATACAGTATTTTACCTGGAAACCTTATCCTCAAATTGTGTAGGTATTTAATAGTTTTAATTAGTTCCTAGTTGACCATGAGGATTTTGTTATCCTTGTTTATTGGCGTTTTGGATTTGTCACGGCTATAAACACCTAGTAGGGTGACAGTAGCTCAGTTGGTAGAGCATTGGCCTTAAGGCCAGAAGGTTGTGGGTTCAATTCCCACCTCTGCACCTTCTCCACCGACTCCCACTGATGACTGCTGTCGTTGTGTCCTTGGGCAAGACACTTAACCCCACTTTGCCCAAAGCCCCCACTGAAAGATCAAGGCTATGCTCACACTCAGAGAGCAGCCGTCCTCCTGTGGACTCACCACCTGCAGAGGGTCAGTGAGGGGCTGGAGACTTGGGTGGCATCTCTGACTGCCACCCCCCTGACCCAGAAATGGATTAAAGGGTAGAAAATGGATGGATGGATGGATGGATGGATGGATAGTTCCTAGTTCTCAAATCAGAGCACGTGAATTGTATTGGCCTCTAGTCTAGCATACCTTTTTTAGATATGGTTTTTATATAAAGAAGTTGAGTACAGATAACCATCCTTGCTCAGCCCAGTCATATATTCACTCACAAGGCACTTTCTTACGAGAACAGATGAACTAAGGTTTAACCAAAAACTTTTACAATCCTAGAGCCTTCTTACAAGCCATACACATGTTTTTAGACTTTACCCGGTTGGATTTTATCTGGGACCATTGACAAAGATAGAACAAACTTTTCCTTTTTTCTTAGTCAAATGCCAACTTGGATTATTCAAAGTCGTAACAAGAGTGGACAATGGAAGTACTTGAATCCTCAGTTTATTAAGTCTGTCTGGTTGGCATTAAACAAGGAGCCAATGTATATGGAGCCGCATGTGTTGTCATTTGATAGAAGGCTTTGTGAATGGATTCATTGAGAGAGATCGCCGGACGCAGTGTCTTGGGCGGTAATTCAAACTAAGGTGTGTGTGTGTGTCGTGGTGGCATGTGGTCATCCTGCATAACTGTCATTCTCATTCATCTGGTGTGTGCGTTTGGTTTTGTGTGGTTTTCTCAGTCTTCTGACGACGACACAGTGAGCAGCGTCTCCCAGGATCTCTGCCGCCGCGGACGCAGGGACAGTGTGGTGAGACCAGGGGAACATCTCCAATGGTTTTATATTTACAGTTTATTATTATTTATTTTCAGGCATAGTCCACCCTTGCTTTCATATGAACTAGTAGTTGTGAGTTTCAGGAATTGCAACCTTTCCTGGAAAGAAATGGGCCTTATACTCTGTTCTAAATTAGTTTTTACTTTTGTTGCGTTTTGATTTTAATGAAAAAGCACTTGCCTAGTAAAAATAATAATTAAGAAATAAACATAAAATTTGAATTGGCTGTTTGCCGTTTGCCCCTGTGCTTCATAATAAGAAGATTCTTTGATTTTACCTCGGAGCCTTTCTGTGTGGAGTTTGTATGTTCTCCCCCTGTCTGGTTAGGTTTCCTCTGGGTGTTTCTGGTTTCCCCTACCACTAAAAATATGTACAACAGTTCCACTCTCTCTGGTTCCAGGACTCTCCTGAAAGAGACTAGATTAAAAAAATTAAATTTACTATGTTTATTTGTGCGACATGTTGTCGCACAAATATGTTACTATGTTTATTTATTTGGGCGACAGTAGCTCAGTTGGTAGAGCATTGGCCTTAAGCCCAGAAGGTCGTGGGTTCAATTCCCACCTCTGCACCTTCTCCACCGACTCCCACTGATGACTGCTGTCGTTGTGTCCTTGGGCAAGACACTTAACCCCACTTTGCCCAAAGCCCCCACTGAAAGATCAAGGCTATGCTCACAGTCAGAGAGCAGCCGTCCTCCTGTGGACTCACCACCTGCAGAGGGTCAGTGAGGGGCTGGTGCTATGAGACTTGGGTGGCATCTCTGACTGCCACCCCCCTGACCCAGAAATGGATTAAAGGGTAGAAAATGGATGGATGGATGGATGTTTATTTGTACATATTTGATTTGATATAATCCGATTTAAAGGTGATATCAGCGACTTCAATAGTATTTCATTTTTAAGATAATGCATATTTTTGACCATATGACCTTGTGCTGTCTTGTAAATGGAGTATTTTTCAAATCCTATTGGCATAAGTAAGATTTTCTGGATGAGCATAGTTTGACCAATGCCAAACATTTGAATTTATTTTGTTCAATCAGGGAGCTGTGTTGATCATGAGTGGGTCCAACTGACTCTTTAGAAAAGTAACAAATGTTTTATTAAGAAGGGCGACAGTCGCTCAGTTGGTAGAGCATTGGCCTTTGAGCCTGAAGGTTGTGGGTTTTTTCCCCCCATGAGACCTGCTCCCACTAATGTCTGTCGTTGTGTCCTTGGGCAAGACACTTAACCCCACGTTGCCCGAAGTCCCCGCTGAAAGAACAGGGCTGTGTCATTACTGAGGGAGCAGCCGTCTTCCTGTGGACCCACCACCTGCAGGAGGATCAGTGAGGGACTGGTGCTATGAGCTTTGGGTGGCAGCTCTCATTGCCACTCCCCCGACCCAGAAATGGACTAATAAAGGGGTTGAAAATGAATGAATGAATGTTTTGTTAAGACACACAATTCAATGCAGTATTAAATAAACCACATGCATTATTGCTGAGTGCAAAGAAATATTTTTTTCTTTCATTGGACGGCTAGCTGTTTATTCAGCGAGCCGAACAGGCCTCTCTACTTTCACACTAGGTTTCACAGTAGATATAAGTCATAACCCTGTTTTTCCTTCAGGGCTTCAGCCTGATACTATTACATCATAAAAATGCCACTTGAATTATGTCACTTTCCCCGTTTACATAGTAACATGAAAACAAAGTCATTGCACTGTGACATGATAGAAAAATGAAAGATGAATGACCTCCTTTATACTTGTGAAACTACGTTATTGGATCATGTGATGCAGAGTCTCCCCAACTCGGCCAGGGCTCATTATCTTTTGTCATGCTAAGAATGTATGTCACCCCAGCTGCAGCTAGCCTACAAACTCAAATGAACCAGTTCTCACCGTCTGGCTCTCGGTGTGGAAAATGCCAAGTCATTTTTCCGAAGCAAGCGAAGCCAATTAACAAAAGGGTGAAGACCACTCCCAGGTGAGGACCGATTTAGATGTGCATCAGCAAGTTAAAGGACAAAATCTTCTTCCTCTCTGAACTTTTATCCATGGTATGACATTGTCCTTCTTCATAAACAGACTTGGAGTTTTCCACTCTAATATCAGGATTCACCCATTTCTACGAGTACTAGTTAAAATAATTACTAGTACTCTTAATTACAAGAATAATTCTTATAATTAATAATAAGCATTATTCCAAAAATAAATGAAAACCCCAGTGGATTCTCTAAATGCATATAAAGTACTATAGACTATGTAGAATTATTCAGTTGTTGCTCATTATAATTATAAAATGAAACTGCTACTGCAATATTGTCCCCTATTGGATTTTTTTGTTTGTACGGTCCTTCTATGTTGCACTGCTTGAATAAAACAATCCATTCATTCATTCGTCGAGTCTCTTAAAGCAGGGTGTGACTCTGGCCTCTCTATACACTCCAGTCTTTGTGAGTTTTATTGCCCTCAACCGTATTGTACTCTGACCGGCCTTTTCAATATCTCCACGTACAGTACTAACTCAAACGGCACAATATAGACCTGATCTCTCTTTGACACTGCTCTCTTTCACTCTCTCCTGTCTCTAAATGTTTGTGTGGCTCTGGTTCGGTGGCAGTCGTCCGATTTCTCCGACATTAGTGAATCCGCCGCAGATTATTTCAGCCGCTCCAACCGCAGGGGCAGCATCGTCTCCGACATCGACGATTTGGCCGATTTGGATTCTGTAAGTTGGTGGTGAAACTCCCAAAGAAATGCGTTGTTCAATTTCCAAGGAAGACATTGTTGTGTGCATGGTTAAAGATTCTACTGAGTACATTGCACTTAAACGGCATGGCTCTAGAAATATAATGCTAATCAAGGAAATGTCTTGGTGTGATTTAATAAATACAATATTGTTTTCACTCAGTTTTGGTTTGTGGTTTTTTTCCTGTTGAATCTGTGAACATGCGGCACTTTTTTTTTGCAGAGGTTTTTACTAACTTTCTAACTTTGCAGGAAACCGTAAGGATTTGGCCAAAAGCATGACGCAAGAAAATGCATGTTCTTAAAAAAGACACAATTAACTTTGCTTTATTTCTTCTGTTTTGCAGCTGGATGAAAAATGTGACAAGCAGTATTCAGATTACAGCCGGGTAAGTTGAGTTTGTGAATTGGGGTACATTTTATCAGTGCTAAGGGCCTTAAGCGTCATTTTTTTTTAGAAACTATTGCTTTCCGTGACTGTTAGTTTTTTCTTTGAGATGCAAAACGTGAACTACAGTACAAGTTTAATGATATCTGAATGTAAGATGCAGTGTAACAGTTGTACTTTCCCCCTCATTGTTAGTGGTTGCGTGATGCATTTTGTTGTCAAATAAAGGTGTTTTCTATTGTCAACACAAACTCCTATCCTGGCCCTGATTAGAAGTCTCCATCCCCCAGTTCTCATCCACCCGTAGCATATTTCCCCTTTGACTTCTATGACAGCTTGGAGCCTTTTGTGGCTGAGGTTTTTTATCGTCTGATGGTAAAGCTGCCCATTCTCCTTGGCAAAAAACCTCCAGATCCTGAAAACTCCTGTGCCATCTTGCATGATCCGCACATGTTTGATCTCCACAATGTCCTTCAATAAGAACCGAAGCAGTAAAAACGACTAAGGAAAATGTAGAAACGAGGCACACACATTTTTTAGCTGCCACTAATATTTATTCATGGTTTATGCCAAGTTGAAGTTTGGGGCTCAATGTTGTTGTTTAAGCTACAAATAAATATTAGTGGCAGCAGTGAAAAGCAGTGCAGGCCTCCTTTCTGTGTTTTGCTCACAACCACTTACAATAGGTGAATGGAGAAAAATATATAATAATTATCATCCATATTGAAATCTCTGGCTGGGTGTGTAAAGCAAGTAAAACTGTATGAATATGTAGCATGGTGAAAATGTGAGATATTTTCTTTTATAGTAGAAGTTTGGGTTAGGTATAACGTGTAGGTGCCACAGGTGAATAATTACGTTTACTTAGTTTAAGTCGACTTTCTCCGCTCTTTGTGGGAAGACACTTGACCCTCGCTGCAATTGTCACGTGATGGAATTGAATAACCCTCTGGAGTTGGGTTGCACCTCTTATGCAGCTGATGTTTTTGTATTGTTTTATCCACTGACCAGTCTTTTCTCTGGCATCTCTGGTCTCTCTCTGGTCTCTCTCTGATCTCTCTGGTCTCTCTCTGGTCTCTCTCTGGTCTCTCTCTGTGGTCTCTCTCTCTGGTCTCTCTGGTTCCTCTCTCTGGTCTCTCTCTCTGGTCTCTCTGGTTCCTCTCTCTGGTCTCTCTGGTTCCTCTCTCTGGTCTCTCTCTCTGGTCTCTCTCTGGTCTCTTTCAGCCCTCGTCCCGCTGTGCCACCCCTGGGCTCTCAGCTGCTACTCTAGCCTCCTTGGGGGGCACCTCGTCCAGACGCGGCAGCACCGACACGGGCAGCATCTACGACCCTGACACCAGTCTGAGCGAGATGAGGGTGAGTGCGACCTTCTCATAGTTTATGTGAATTTAATGTCCATTTTCAAAAGACTCAAACAATAATAATATATTTATGCTCAAGTTAACTTTCAACATTTGTTTTGAATTATGTTTGAATGGTTATTCCATTTCTGCTGGTCCGTTGCATTTCATCAACAAAGATTTTCCCCAGAGTAATGACTAAGCATATTAATCCTACCAAGCTCCTATTGTTTACAAAAGAGCAAAGTATATTTTGTGTGGTTTGTATTGTTTTCATAATGGGGAGGCTGCTTTTAATGATGGCAACCTTTTTTATTTTATCTGTTTTAATAAATGCTTAGCAAAGGAAAAACATTTGTACAATATTTAATTAATGAATTGCCTGAATGCTGCCCGGCATTTCATAATCCATAAAGTTTATTTTGGACTTTACTTTGACAGAGCTCTGATAATATATCTCATTTTGAGACACAGGGCAACATGTTTTTTGGCTTGATACCAACTAATATTCGAAATGCCAGAGGATTTCAAACCCATTTTCAAATTCTCACCAAGACGCAGTTTTGTTTTAAAACCTGCAAAAATCACACACCTGTCATATAATGCGATGTACTGTAGCATTAGCCATAGCACATTTCCTTATAGCTCTAAATGATTATCCAGCTGTTTTGTGTCTATTCCATTGATGTAAACTTCCTGCTTTCCTCCTTGACTCTCTTAAGTGTCTGCACAGTATTCTTCCTGCACGAGGACGAATTGATCTGAATGTTGTCTTATTCTGAATGCTCGGCTCTGTGGTGGTCATGTCTCTGTACCAGCCGGATCATGTCTTTCTGGTTACTCGCTTTACTGGCTTTTGTATTCTTATCTCTTTCTTCCTTGATAATCCCTCCAACCGTTGCCTCCCATCTCCCCATCTGCTCTACAGGATATCTATGAACTAAAGGACCAGATTCAGGATGTAGAAGGGCGGTACATGCAGGGGCTAAAAGAGCTGAAGGTAGAGGGGCCTGAGCTCGCAGCATGTCTCCTAACTCCTATCTCCTATCTCCTAGCATCTCTCTCCTGTCCTTGTGGTCCCTCTGGGGGCAGTGTGGCTCGGCTAACGACACTCCATAGTGGTGGCTGTCCAGTCTGAAATGCTATAACAATTCCCTTTGCATGAGCCTTCTTCACTTGTCTGATGAAACTCACTGGTTGTGGCCTGTTCATGACGCACCTTTTTATCATGTTGTATTCAAATATGTCCAGTTGACAAAAGCACTAATGTTTTGTTCAGAGATTGGACGTTCTGTGGCCCGTATCATGCATCTTGTAGATAAGCCTCGTGACTAACTTTGAGATGGCGCTAGATTTGGAAAACTAGTCAAACCAGGGACAAGAGTTGTATATTATATGTATAACTGCATTGTCTCTGTTAAACAAATACAAAATATATATAAATCCTGACATTTGGAATTAAAAACAAAGGATCGGCTTAACTTTCGTGTGAAAAGTCTGCCACCTGCTTGTCTTCTGCACAAAACCTTGCCTGAAATATTTTATAGTATATACATTAAACTATCTTGGCTCGAGGGAGCAAACCAGTACAAGCTTTGATTAAAAATGAAATGGTTTGAGAGGGTGTTGTCTATTAAGATGCCTTTTTAACCATTAAAGAAGTTAAGTATAATTGATTTAAGAACTGCAAGTGACTAGGATCAATTGCAGTGGTTTCCAAAGTGGAGGTGGCAAGATTATTCCCAGAATGTTTTTTTGCAGTGTCTAGATTATAGACACATGTTTTGATGCAAACATTATTAGTGATATTACATCAATAAGCACAACAAATTACTCAAACAACATTAAAATGAATGTAGTTACCCGAGTGTGGGCTCTCGACCTGAACATTTTGGGAACCCCTTATCTATAGTATTCCAGGCCGAGCATCTGCAGGAAGACGAGCATGTAGCATACTCGCCAGTGGGAAAGTGGCACCTTATTTAAATGATGAAATATGCATTTACCACTAAGGGCTTTTGGTCTGGTTACACAGCCTTATTTTGCGAGATTGTGAATATGTCATAATTAAAAGTTCTGTAATATCATTGCATGTATGCCTTCGGTTATTGGTAGAATCTTCTATTGCTTTTGTAAACTGAAAATATATCACTGGGGTTTTTATATGGCACTTTCACATTGTGTCCACTTTGCATTTCACACCAGTATTTTACTAACAAATCTCACCTCTAGTCTCTTTCTTATTTAGTTTATTGTAGCACTGACAATGTTGTTTTCATTTTTGTGATTTAATGCAACCCTATTGCATTTGTTTCATTAAATCACAAAGCCCGGGTTTCAAATATTTTTCTACCAACTGAGAAAGAACCACAAGTTGAAATATTTGTTCTCATTTTTTGCTAACATGTTTTGCTTGTATACTTTATGTGTTGGTGTTTTTAGCACAGAGCTCAGTCCTGGTGCATGTACAGCGGCTGGGTTGTGTTAAAATAACCGGTCTTCTTACTAACAATGCCCTCGCAACCTGAATATAAAACCAGGAGTCGTTGACAGAGGTGGAGGAGAAGTATAAGAAAGCCATGGTGTCGAACGCACAGCTGGACAACGACAAAGGCAACCTCATCTACCAAACGGACACGCTCAAGGACGTCATCGAGGAAATGGAAGAGCAGATGGCCGAGATGAAGAGAGAGCTGGAAGACAAGTCAAAGGTGAAGCGTTTAAGACCACAGGCTTTTGACGGGAACTGAAGTGGATGTTGTGTAAGCAATAGCCCAGCTTCATGGTATGCAGAATAGAGTAGTGGAAAAAGAGTATAGAGTCCTGTTTTTGCTTGAGCGAAGAGTTGGTGATTAATATTAATTATATGGTGGCGTATGTTGATCCTTTAGCTGTAATCTTCCATATCGTCAACATGAAGAACTAAAACTATATGGATTTTTTTGTATTTCAATAATAACTTTAATAGGGTACTACTGTGCCTTGCCTGAATAATTATGTGACTAAACTCTCAAGACCTTTTCATTTATTTTAATTTTAATTTGACAGTAATTTTTAAATCCCATACACACACACAACATATGTGCACAAACAAAATTAAAGTCATTAAAAGAAATCAAACAAAAAATCAAGATTACTTCAAATAATCTGCAGTGACGGATTATCACTTTTCACATAGATTTGTGGCATATTCTCTTGTCTAAAGCAATAAAACTTGTATTCAAATATATACTTTTTCTCCTATGAAATAAACATTAGTGGCCTTGGATTGTCACATGTCTTGAAGGAGCAGCTTAAATTCACTGCAATAAAGCTCTGGTACGATTGAATATTCTTGCATATTTGAATGGGTTTATTAATCCCCAAAACATGGCTCTAACCTTTTTTAAGTAAAAAAAAAACAACAAAAAAACATAAAATGTACTGAAAATGATTTGGCGCTCTCATTTTTGCAGGAATTAGAAAGGCAGAAGCACCAGTGCGCAGTTCTGCAGCACAAACAGGAAGAGCTGAAAGACGGGCTGCGTCAGCGGGATGAGCTTATAGAGGTGAGACCACACTAAATGTATTTTGATCCTTCCAGGCCACAGTACAGGACCAGAGGGTTGTTGGGATTCACTCTTTATAAACTCAGCGGCGTTCACACGACTGCTGGGCCTCACGCCACTTCCAGCTGAACTTTGTCAGGGTTCAAATGAAATGTCAACCCCACATGGACCACAGACGTCCCAGTGGTGCCAGACAGGAAGAGGTGGAGAAAGAGGAAAGACTCACCGCTTCCATCGGCCGTAAAGCGAGAAGCCAGCCGTGTCTACTTTCTGTTAGGTCTCAGACAATGATGCTTACAAAGTTAAATGTAGCGTAAAACTTTTGTGCGTCTCCGTGGTGCGAGGAGATGAGATTGAGGTCCCAGGTTTACATACAATGACAGAAAGTGTTTAGTCTTTGCATGTTTACAGCTGAAAACTATTTAATTGTTTACATGGCAAAGAGACCGAACTAGCATCAATGCATCAATGACGCTGGAAAAAACCGGAATGGACCAAATTCTTCTGCAGTATTAAATATATCATGTTCAGGTTTCTCCCTCTACCTGTAGGTAAATTTGTCTTGCATTTTGAGAGCTGATCCCATTTGTATTCCCATATGTTCTACAGATAAAGTAAACACATCTATTCTAGCTATATTTTGTCTTATTTACAGGCCTATTATGATATAACATAACTGATTTGTCCATGTATTATTTATGAACAAGTAAATTAATAAGTCCTGGTTTTGCTAAATTAGTTTTCATGACTTTTATTCAGTCAGGATCAAAGCTATTTATATTCTTGTTTCCAATGACATCCAGGTTTCAGAAAAAAAAACGGTACAAAGCTCATGGTCTAGAGTATTGTATCAAATTGGCAGGTTTTAATCTTTTTACTTTTATTTAATGAGAAAATGTGTGCAGTATTCAGTGTTTCCGGTTCTGTCGACTTGGTTGTAAACACAGGGTGAAGAAGTGAATGTCTCTGCAGTGAAATTCTTGTGTCTTTGAGACCCTTTCTCTGTGTTTCACGTCTTCTCTCACTCATTCTCTGTCCATCTCCCGTCGCTCGCTCGCCGCAGGAGAACCAGCAAATGCAGACTAAGTTAGACACCCTGACCCGCGAGGTGTTTGACCTCCAGGAAACGATAAACTGGAAGGACAAAAAGATCGGGGTAGGAGGTTCCTCGTGAAGCTCTGAGAGGCAAAACATGACCTGAATGTGTGTTACAAAACCAGGAACCTCTTTACTTAAGGAGACGTATTGTGCAAAACATTTCTCTCCATTCAAGTAGACTCCTTCTCACCATGGAACCTAGCCTGAGCAAGTTTATTGGTATAGCACAATTTATACACAAGGCAACTCAAAGTACTGAACAAAATAAGATACAGACAGTCATATAAGCACATAGTTACAAAACTTAAACCAAAAATATCTAACAAAAACAACTGAATTTTACAGTGTTCCCCAAGCATTTACCAGCAGTGGTTTAGTAGTTGTAGTTGGAAGAATGACTTTTAATTTCTGTCGTCAGTTTTTGCTACTCACTCGACTACGCCAAGAAAGCGGTCACATGACTAATAAAAAGTTATTACTCCTTTAAAGATGAATATTAAAGTTGTCACATATCCCACCAAACATTTAGTAAATTCAAGAAAAATAAATTATAATAAAATGGCAAAATAAGTTTATCTTTTTAACTTATCGTTGCTATTGAAAGTTGGTGGCTGACGGTGTTAGTTATTTCTTATTAAACCACTCAAAGTAGTTTTTACAATGATTATAGCAGGATTGAGTGATTTTTGCATTCAAGGCGCCACTACTGCCCTTTTACAGCTTTGTTCACTTTCTTTATATGTTGACTTTACTTACTCCCATCGTCTGTGTAAGAAGTAAGATTTCAGCTGCAAAACGCTATTGTTTGTGATCCACTGCTGTCTAGCAACGTCAGACTTAACCTTCGAAAATGGACGGATTTAAAAGTTGGTGACCTACTTTATCAAACCAGTTTAAGTCAAGATTTAGAGATTTCAAATGTTCCAATTATATAAATAATAGTGTCATGAATTAGATATACCAGCACAATATGTCATCCTCAATAAAGAGTGTCTCCTTTGATGGTTCTGTGCCTCTCAAGCTGCCTCTGCATGATGGAAACCCAGCTCTAGATAAATGGGTTTTTAAGTTTAATTTGGACTTTTGCATGTTGAAATAACCAGGTTTACTTTGATTTTGAACTAACCTTAAGTTGAAGCTTGTCGTGGGGGTTACTTTGTGACCTACAGTACACCGGTTGGTTTTGGCTGTGGGAGGGAATTTATTCATAGCATGAGAGATGACGCCTGCAGCATATTTCTGAGATAGATTTAAGTTCCAATGCATTAGTTTGTGTTTCAGGAAATAGAAAAGCAATATTGATTTTCTTCTTAAGTATTCCTCCTCCCATCTCTCTCCTCTTCAGCTGTTTTTCCTGTAAACATGTCAGAGGTCGACCAAAATCTGATTCGGGTCAATTGTATAAACTTTCAGCTGCTTCATACAATCATCGACAACTCGTCCTGAAATATGTCACATCATTTAGAACATGATCAATGGCTTCACAGGGACTGGAATCATAGAAAGTATAAAGTTCAGATTCTGCACTCCACACATATGTGTTTGTATAGTTTGATTTTTTCTGAGTACGTACGTACGTAAGTACGTTTTTATTTAGTACGTTTTTATTTATATACCGCCTTTTCACTGCAGATCTGAGTCTCAAAGCGGTTTACAATTGTTATTTTTGGGCATTTGTCTCTCACTCCACACAGAGATGGGGGCGGGGCCAGTACAGGAGGCGTATGCCAGAACTATTGGACATATTTTTAGTGGTAGGGGAAACCGGAGTACCCGGAGGAAACCTACGCAGACACGGGGAGAACATGCAAACTCCACTCAGAAAGGCCCTGGTCCGACCGGGATTCGAACCCAGGACCTTCTTGCTGAGAGGCGAGAGTGCTATCCACTCAGCCACCGTGCCGCCCAAATATATTCACTTAAATGCAGTCTCATTTATCTCGTATTGAGTGCTCCTGCTACTGTCGAATGTGCGCTACAACACTGGAATTTTCCCACTGCCGGACAAATGAAGGTTCTTATCAAACACTTGTTGAACCTGGACACAGAATCAGAATAGTCAAATCAATATATAATGTAGTTTGAAAATGTTTAGTTTCAGTTTATTATTATTTGTAGTTATCACTTTTTTTATTATTTGTATAAATAAATAATAAAAAATTAGATATGAAAAAATGTCTTGTTAAAGCATTTTTTTTAAACTGTCGAACAAAAGCGCAAATGACAGTGTTACGCCTGACACATTCTAGGGAAGTTTATTTGCATAGCACAATCATACTGTTGTCCTTTTATATTAGCTTTGTGTCTGATACTGCCACCTGGTGTTGAACCTGAAATAATCATTAAAAAAAATGATACAAAACTGTTTTACTGCACAGGGATTTTGGCTCAAGTAGAAAAAAACCCACAGCAGACAAATAAAAAAATGTCCCCTTTTTTTTTGCTGTGATTTCTGACTTTTTTTAACCAATTAAGCTTCAGATTGGTGCGACCTCGTGCATGTGGGCCTGCTGTTCCTTTCATCTTTCAGCTGCACTGTGCACGTGTTTGCATGTCCCACTATTGTCACAGTGATTCATGTGTCCTCTTCCAAATGTCCTCCCCTCCTCTTCTCTCCTGTGGTGCGTGTGGCCAGGCCCTAGAGAGACAGAAAGAGTACTTTGATTGCATTAGGAATGAGAGGGATGAGTTGAGAGATGAGCTGGCTGACATCAAGGGGACGGCCAAAGCAGGAGAGGTACGTCCTACTGCACAAGGTATAGAGTGGACAACATGACAAAAGTGACACCATATGTTTTTTTAATAAAGTTGTTTTTTGTGTATGCTGTGACGTACATTGTCTGCGCTCCAGTTTGAAGACGCAGAGACGAAGGGAAATACAATAGATGCAAACAAATAAGTGTTCATAAAATAAGTCTAGATAAGGGTCGGCATTTCTATTTCTCCACGGATATGGTGTTTGCCAGGGCTGCTGCATTAAACTTGTATATGAGTGTGTTCACAGTTAAGTGTCAATTGAAGTATCTCGACTTTAAAAGGTTATAACTTAAAAACTAAAATTACTATCATAGATTGGAAAAAAGATTTCAAACACAGACACATCAAAGAGATAGTGTGGATAAAATTAAAAGGAAAGATTGTCAAATATATTTTTGGTGACATTTTAAACGACAAAATCAGCCTCTTTTTTGACCATTCTACTGTGACGCCAGTTACATAGAAAATAAAATGTCCTCAGTCTGAAAAAGCGGCAGATGAAATCCCACAAGATTATTATGGTTAACACAACATCAGGAAATCACTTGATATGAAAAGGAATCGTTAAAAAATTAAAAATAATTAATTAATTAAATGACCCTTGAAAAATGTATAACGGACGTGATGGTTTCCGTCCTCTTTTCTCTAAAATTTAAACTTGAGAAAGAAAAAAATCTTGTCTGGTTTCACATTTAATTGCTTGACTAAATGAAAGTATCACTTTGTTTCTACTCTGTGTAAAAAAAAAATAGAATCTCTGAATCAAATGTGGACATCTGAAAATACCTATCAAACTTCCGCAAAGCTCATTCCGTCAAATCATCACGTCCGTTAGATAAAATAAACAGGGCCGCTATAGGAAACTTGTCTAATGTATAAAACAGTTATGTTCTAGCAACTTCTAATGAACAGAGGAGGTGCTTGGAAACATGAAAAACATAAAATATCTTCTGATTATTAAAATCTAATTTTTGGCCTTTTGTCACACTTTTGTGCCCTTTAGTGTGAACAAGCCCATATGTTAAAGGGCTAAAAATACAAGTTTAATGCCACATTTATGGAGCACTTGAGGCAAACTCTGTGTAGACCAGCAGCGGACCTTCACTAGAAAAACACCACGACACTTCTATTTTAATGTTATTATTTTTTAACCTATGTACTTCATTTGCAATAGTAGGCTAATACGTTTTCTAAAGCATAAAAGTGACTCGTGTTGAGTCTAGTTTTACCTTTGCTTATTTGACTGCAGTACCTGACTTTTTCTAATGTTTTTGTGTTCCATCTGAAAGCATTTTGTTACTTGATTTTTTTGCATGGTAGGTTTACATTTACAAGAAAGAGCCCTCTGTGAGTCACTAATAGATGTTTTGTACTGAAAGCTGATTGGCTGAGTGAGGGTGGTCCACTCTTTGTTACATCTTTAAATCAGCTTTTTCAGATAGAAAAGTAAAAGAACCCAAAAATAAATTCAAATTAAAACCAAACAGTTTACTAGTTACACATGTTGCATTATAAAGATATTTTTTTGTTCCCCAACTTTAACCAAAAGCGTGTCAAAACCAAAGCCCACAACAACAGTCGCTGATTTGCCCTAAACAGATTAGAAAATCAAACTAGTAAAACAGACACGGGTCAAAGATGTGGCTTTGGGCACATGTTCACAGCGCTCATTTCTCCTTCGCTCGTGTCTCTTTCTCAACATGTTTCTATTTGATCCACGGCGCCTCTCGTCGTCTCATGTGTTTCTTGTTAACGTCCTGCTCTCTGACTGCGTGTGATTACTGATGTTTATTGCTTCAGACTGAGCTCAGAAACTGCTCATGGCTCCGAACAAAACACAGTCAGCCATTCTCTATGTTTAGCTGCAGCTCTGTGGAAGTTCCTCCTGGCAGTGGATTTACTTCATGTACTTTTTAAAACATAAATCAACCCTAGCTTTAGGTTTGCTATAAGTTACTCTACTCTCTGGAAGTCATTGCAGTATTTATTTGTAAGAATGTGTTTTATTTACTGCTGACAGACGAATCATTGTGTTTATTCCCTTTCAAATATATCTATATTATTTTCGATTCGATTGCATTTTTCCCGCCAAAAGACAAATATTCTTGACAATGCAATGCAGACTTGATGACAATTAAATTCGGGGGGGTCTAGAGCTAACAAAATCCATCTAACTAGTTCTTTGCTCTCAACAGTTTGGATCAATCACTAGTTTCCACATGCATGTACTTTTGGGCCTCTGCCACAACTTTAGATCCACTTTTTCAGACAAAGTGAAAGAGAGGATCAACGTCACGCAGCCAATCAGCTCTCAGCCATTTAGCGACTCTCAGTGCTGTTTCTTACAAGTATGCAAAAGATAAGTTGTTTTCTTCGAAGAAGAGGCATCTTGTGGTCGGATTGGTTCAAAACAATTAAGTCTCTTTCAATTGGGTCAAATATTTAGGTAAGTTAGGTACCAGTCATTTTTAACCCTTTTTAAGTCGATATTTTTAATTCAAAACATTACAAAGTTTGCTCCAACTAATTCACTTTAGTTGAGATCTATTACAAAGCTCCGCAAGAATATAACATTTCAATCTGTTTTAAAATATGATTTATTACATAAAACGGATGAAAGTTAAAATTACTGTATAGACCAATTCCAATAGTTTATACAAAGTATGATGCAAAAAAAAAAAAAAAAACAGTAATTGTGAATAATTAGTGCATTTGTATGTTGCTGTACGCTTCTGTTATCTTTGCCATTTGTTTCTGACCGTTCCTCTTCTCTGTCAGAAACACGGCCTGGTGATCATCCCAGACGGAACTCCGAACGGGGACGTGAACCACGAGCCGGTGTCTGGGATCACGGTGGTGTCACAGGAGGCGGCGCAGGTGCTGGAGTCTGCGGGAGAAGGACCCCTGGGTGAGGCCAAAAGTGACCCCCACGGTCAAACTGCACACGTCATCCATGAAAATACTGAAATGTCTGAGTGAACTAAAAGACGTTTGTTTCGTCGGCGCAGACGTGAGGCTACGGAAGCTGGCGGACGAGAAGGACGAACTGTTGGCTCAGATCCGGAAACTGAAAAACCAACTGGAAGAAGAGAAACAGAAACACAACAAGAGCGACGTGTTCACAGAAGGAGAGCAGCTGGAGAACGGCACCGACCTGCACTACATCGAGATGCAGAGTACGAATCCTTCCTTCAGATTCTCAACGTCTTATAACCATTTCCCTTTGTCAGCGACGCTCTCTTTCATGGGAGTAAAAAAAAAAAATACTTCACTGCCCTCGACCAATGCTACAACACCACTGTTTTTACTTTGCTCTACGAGTTTCTTTTCCAAATGTGATTTATAGATGATGCTGCAGTGATCTACGGCATTTCTTTTTTGGTTGAGGAAAAATAACCACTGTTTGCTAGCTTGATCTGCGGTGAAGTGGGGTCTTTGGAGTGGTCATGTTTAGTAGTAGTAGTAGTAGCAGCATTACCAGTTCTAGCTGTAGTTGTAGCAGCCGCTTTCATTCAGAAAAGAAATAGATTTGATAAATGCAAAGATAAAATGAAGCCGCTTGAGAACAACTTCTAAGAGATGAAACGTCAACAAAAACTTATTATTAAACAACCATTTTAGTTTAGTTCAGGTTATTATATTGTTTCAGGTCTGTTCGGAGTCAACTTCTAAACAGCATGCCCTAGTCTGTGTTATTCAAACATGTACAGCTCTGCGTTAATCATTCAAAACAACAAAGTCTGCATACTCTATAAACATTAATTCAATTCAATGTATTAAAGTTATTTTTGTCTAGCCACAAATCACAACAGTAGTTTTCTCAGAGGACTTTACAAAATCATCAAATTTGACAACAGAGATCAGAGAATTAAACGGTTCAAACACAAGAAATGCAATGATTTCAAAAAACACACAGAACATACTGTTGGTCCATAAGGAATTCTCAATTTAAATGTGTGGAAAGAAGTACTTTTTAAGTGTCAAACATTTATTTTGAGATTTCAAATGTACTGAATGTTTAATAATGAGCCATATATATATATATATATATATATATTATATATATATAAAGACAGAGGGTTGTGATGTGAGGTTTTATAAAGTGGTTATGATGAGTGGACATAAATCTTTTTTGTATCTTTCCACAGGAGATGCAAACCGACAGATTAGTGAATATAAATTTAAGATTTCGAAAGCAGAACAAGAAATGGGTACGATGGAGCAAAATGTAAGTAACTGAAAGCCGCTGTAGATCTACTTGAACATGAGGCGTTGCTTAGTTTTGTTGTGATCTGCATTTCCAGATAAACAGACTTGAAGGGCAGGTGGCCAGGTACAAGGCTTCGGCCGACAACGCAGAGAAAATAGAAGACGAGCTTAAAGCAGAGAAACGGAAACTACAACGAGAGGTAAAAGAGACTTGTTTAAAGCTGGAGTGATGCATGTAACTGTTCCCTCCTGGATCTCAAAACTGTGCTTCTATCACTAGTTTTTACATACGTTTTTGGCCTCTATCACATTTTTTTAGACAAATTAAACGGATCAATCATTTCTAAAGCCCAGTTCATACAGAATGCAACTCAACGTGCTTCACATTGACAACCTTTAAAACCAATTGAAAACTCACTGTAAAAACTATATATTTTTTTCACTACTAATAATTGTTGTTGGCCCCAAAAAAATACGTCTGTCGAGCCCAGTGGGGGCGGGTCCCGGCTCAAAAGTGGCCAAAATGACGTGCGCTGCCGCTGACGATACCACCCCGGGCCGATGGGGGTGGACCCGGAATAAGAATTAGCCAATGCTAACATATAGCATCTTCTTACCTCTCAAACGTCTTTACAGGATGGTCCAAAAGTTGGCTCTTGGCCCAAAGCTCCGTTCCAAATGTGTGTCAATGCTGAGGGGAGTGAATTTATTTGGACCACTCCAGTTTACATGAATGGGGCTCATGCCGGCTGACGTATGCGCAGATGTGTTTTTTCACATTTTGCAGCCCCCGTGGCCATTTTGAAACTGCCCATAGACCGCGGAAGTTGTGGCACATTAATTAGAACGGCGGAGATGGGCCTGACTACGTCCGTTGATATGTACAATGGTATGGTTGAGCCCTAGTAAAACATCTAAAGCTGCCCTGTGATAACCACCTAAAAGCATTTTCACTTATTAATACAGTACAGAAGTTTCTATGTGTTTATAGATATAGGACACGTATGACTACTACCAGTTATCCAGTTTAAAAATAAAAGAATCTGAAAACAATAGAATAAATAAAAATGAGGACCACACCACTCTGTTAAAAGCCAGACCCAAAGTCCTGGACTAACTTTAATGAAATGGGTGGAGTCTACTGGGCTCTGGGCTCGGTCGGGATGAGGACCTTGTTGAAGACCCCTGTTCTTTACAATATACCGTTTGCATCAAAGTGAAATATGAACTCTTTGCTTCTCCCCCCTCCTCAGCTCCGCACGTCTCTGGACAAAATCGAGGAGATGGAGATGACAAACAACCACCTCGTCAAACGCCTGGAGAAGATGAAGGCCAACAGGAACGCGCTGCTGTCCCAACAATGAGACCTCCCCTCCCTCCGCTCCTCATAAAGACCCACCAAATCCAAAACGAATGATGAAACCTGCCCATAGACCTGCATCTCACAACCACCTCTGACTGGGAGCACGCCGTCGTAACCCATCATCCGTAGCTAACCAAAAACACTTGTAGCACAGGAAAAATGAACTGTCCTTGTTTTTACTTTTGCCTGGCAGCATTTGGGAGACTCTAAACCTCACGATAATAATAATAAAACGTGTATAATATCGCTGGGAGACGCACTTTTTTGGACATTTATCTGAATCACTACATTATTTACAGGTATTTGTACTACATCATGTTGTTTGTATTCTTTTGCCTGGGTGCTTGGCCATAAGTCGGTTGGTTTTTTTTCATAAGTTGCATGAATGACTCTTTAACAAAAGCTTTTTAGACCTGCCTCGCTCCAGCTTCCCTCTCAGCAAAGTGCCTTCTTGCGTTCAAGGAAAACTGGGGGTCCGCACCACTCCGTTGCTCATTGTTTAAACAGGTACAGAATGATGGTATGTATTTAAAGTAAAGGAAAAAAAAAGGTGCAGTCGGTATTTGAAACTATATATAATGGAGAAACAACTGTGTCTGCTGAAGTTTCATTGACATTTTTCAGATATTTAAAAGATTTCTTGAAAATAAATGTAATTTACAAATGTGTTTACAAAGTTGTTTTTCTATTTGTGTTTTTGATGCGGTCACAAATCATATGGACAAGGGGAGGTCTGCGCCACAGCGACAATTGGCAACGGCTGATTCTGGATAACAATGGTGCTATAAAACTAGTAATTGCAGACGTTTTAATGATTAAACACAATTCTTTCTTTGGCTCTCCACAGACATGACCTGTATGTTAGCATGGTGACACTCGTTTCCAATGTCAATGAGGCCTAATGCCATCCTGTGGAACATTACAGGCAAAACATCTAGTTTCAGAAAGCAAAGCATCCTCAACATTTAGATTACCATCTTTCTTCTGCTTTACCCGTTTTCGTCAAAAGCCAGACTTTCATGTCCACATTTCTTCCAGCCCATCTGGGGAATCCTTAGTTAAATGAACAAAACATTTTTCAATCACTGGTGGGTCAATTTTATGAGGATAGCTCAAGGGTTAATGATATAATCTGTATGGGATTTGAAATGAAGCAAATATATTTTATATTATAAAATTTGGGTCAGAAACAATTTCATTTATATCAAATATTTATTTACATGAATATACAGTATTAAAAAGTAGTGGTTTTATTGTGTGCTACTCATCAGCATCTCTCAAACACTTTGTATAAGTCCGGGAGGCTGGCTATCTGCAGAACTGTCCCATCTTCACTGAAGCGTTTGGGAGGACTGAACAGCGTCCGAAAAGATTTTGAAATCACATGTTCAACCTGCCATCGCCAAGAGTCTGTCTCCTGCAAAACCAAAGAAAATCAAAGTTATGGCATGTTTAGGTCGGAGCAGCTGACAAATCATGTGACTTATTGTGATAGTTATGTTTATTAAAATATACTAAGTTGTTGCATGCTTCACCTTTAGAGGGCAGTAAACCTGTTGAGTGAGGCTTTCCATCACACCCTTCTAATAACTAAGCACATGTTGCATTTGAAGCTCCTTATTTCCTTTACATTCTATGGCTGGTTTGTAGAGATACCTGCTCCTCTTCAGCCTGCGGCTCCAGGATGTACTGTTTCCTGATGGAGTAGAAGGAGCTGCACTCTTTACTGAAGTCTCTGAAGCATTCCTTCTCACTGTCCCAGTTCACCTGAAACACAGAATATTCATTAATTTACTGTTATCAGAGGGATAATTTCCTTTATGGTGCATGTTTTCAGCTTGCATCCCTAATGTGTTATGGTCAGACAGTATAGATATGAATATAAATAAGTTTTGCAAATGACATTTATACTTCAACTAAAAATGAGGATGTCACCTCTGTGGCCAGTCTCAGAATGAACATGGGCAAACCCTCCATGATGGGAGTGTATTTATCCAGCAGCATCGGCAATCCCGTCAGTTTACCATCCTGCACAGATGGAGGGTTTAATTACAAATACATCAGATAACTGTGCACTGTCTGTTCTCTATATGCTGCAATAATGATCTTTGAATTAATGAAAAGAAAAAAAGATTAGGTTAGAAGAAGTCATCAACATTCAGCTTGAAAAAAAATGTTTTGGGAATTTTTTAATCACTGACAGGTCCATTTGACCCAAGGGAAGCAAAATGGTAAAAATGCTTTATGCTAATTGCTTGAAATATTTTACAGTATTTCCTGGTAATCACCCAGTGTTTGTATGAGTGGTCAGCATGGTGACCTACTAATACTTGGGTCAATGGGAGCCAGAGTTGGAGCAAAACATTCTCCATGAGCACTTCCCTACACTGAGCTAGGCGGTTAGCATTGTGCCTCTATTCATGATCTACAACAATACATCAGCTGTATTTTTTTACAGTGTCACAGAGATCTTCACACAAACACAAATGATCTAAAATATGTGGCGTTGTGAATAATAAATGTAATTGAAAATCGGATCGTACATATAATGTACTTATTTTGCGGACAGACCTGATCTATCTCCAGTGAGAAGTAGTCCTCCAACATGTCCGCTTGCTTTTTGAGGAAGTCCACGATGTACTGGGCCAGTCCTTCCTTAGGTCCGTCCTCCTCGGTCCAGCCGCTCTCCTCCGAGTCCAGAGCCAACATGGCCAAGTCGTAAAGTGCCACAGGCTCCTGGAATCAACACACACACACTCAAATAAAACACACACACTCAGGAAATACAGAAAAAACGTGACTTTGTTTTGTCATTTACTTACCGAGAGTTTCAGCATGCCAAAGTTACCAAAGTCATAGATGAGGATTTGGTAGAAAAGTTCTTGGCTGCAATGGGAGAAATGAGACGCTTGGTTACTATTCATTTTTAAGATGTAGTTTTAACAAGTTTTATTTAGAGGATATAGATAAGAGATCCTTTATTCGTCCCACAGTGAGAAAATGTCAATGTTGCAACGCACACACAGGACAGTCAGAGCACACAGGGAGCACACACAATGTCAAAAATATTAAAAACACTGTCCTCACAGTTACAAACAACAATAACTAAGAAAGATTATCCTTTGTGAGATCAATAAAGTATATCTTATAACTACATTTCTTAACATTTCCAGCAATAACGGTGACCTACACACACACACCCCAAAATGCGTTAAATCCAAATAGCACCGTTTCTGTATGATGCCACTTGTCACTTACGTTCTTGATGCTTCCAATAAAGATTATGAAAAATAATAAAAAATAATAAAAATATACAGTAAGAGTAGCTGCTTCGTTTCTTAGCAAGCTGTAAATGCTCGTGTATCGCTGTCTCTCTATCTTTATATATAGTGCAACAAGCATTTGTGTAATGCCTGTACACAGATGTGATAGCAAATATGAGCAGATCAAAGTCAATTTTAAGGAGAAAATCTGCTAATTATATTTGAAGATGAAAGGACAGAGCAGGATTGTGTACCTGAGTTTAGTGGTGTTGAGGAGATAGAGTTTGGTCAAATGTTGAATCAAAGTCCACTGAGGATTCACACAACCCACGAATGAGTGATTCTGCAACATTTCCTGGAGACCTGAGAGAAAAGGAAATACAATATAACGGTTAAAGCTGGGGAACCTAACTTTCAGACCACAAATAATGGAACTATGAAATAAAATTAGTCAGAATCATTAGTTCATTCTATGTACGGTATAAGTTTCCAGCTGTTTACGAATGATCCTGTATGTATAAGGTTCTTGTACTGTACTTTGTGTTGAATGTGTGAGGGGGTTGGAATTCAATAAGCATTTGCTTCATCCACCTCCTTTTCAAACCATGCACCTGTATATTTGTCTGTTATGTTGATTTTTGAGATGATGATGTTTGTGCAGGTTTTGAAATAAATAATATCTATCTATCTATCGATAAAATCTGTGTAACAAGTTCCTGGCTCTAAAACAGAGTCCATGTAACAATCCATGTATTTTGCACTTTCCAAACCATGAAATACCTAAATAAATATCCATAGTTGTGTATTATAGTTTTTTTTAGTTGCACCTTTGTGGTTGCCGTCGGCGATCTCTGCCCTCAGCTCTTTGACGCTGTTCAGTTTTATCACTCGTCTCTTTGGAGTTTCTGCTGCTTTCTCTTCGTCCTCTCGCTGCTCCGTCCTCGGCCGCTTCCTGAACCCAACACACAATCATGCAAGAAAGATAAAACAATTATAACACGGCATAATAAAAAGCAAGCTGTTTTCTAACAGATTGTTTTTCCATCGTAGTCAAGAGCGTTATCAAAGGCATTTCTATAGTTGCAATGTTACTGTCCGTCCATTGCACACACTTTTATCCTTTGCTTTTAACACGCCGTGAGTTGTTTAGTCCTATTTTACTTATTTTATTGTTTTATGTTTATTTATCTATATAGATCATTGTTTTGATTATTATTATTATTTTATTATTATTATTATTATTATTATTATTTTATGTATTTATTTTTTCATTTTTTTATTTTTTTTTATTTTTTTTATTTAAAGCTGGCTTGTATATTTTAATGTGTTATTTTTTGGTGTGTGGTGTTTCAAATGTAATTAAAAAACTAAAAGAAATACTCTCCATTTAATGTCTAATTTGGCAAATATTTGAAAGTATTAACATTTTTGAAATGCTAAATGTTTAAAAGCTTCTTGGCAGGTTCAGTTCTTGTGTTAAATCCAAAACCAGTGATTTTTTGACTGCCTGATTATATCGCATGTTTGTTCTCCTGGAAGTTTATCAATAAATCCTTCCTTAATAAATGACACTGTAAGGCCAACTGGTTTTCAAGATACAAAGATGAGTTTTGAACTTGTGATACAACGACGGTAAGATCCCGATAATCCAAAACATTTGACTGAGCTAATTCCTGCCTTTAACTCCATGGAAAGCAGGATTTATCCCTGTAATAAACGAGATCAATGAAAAGAAGAAGCAAGGATAGTCAAGTTGTGTACAATGCCTTTCTCGCCACCAGGAGGCAGTAGTGACACATTCTATTCACTCAGTTGGTCATGAAAAGCTGAGAACATTGCCGTGACAGGCCTTGCCCCAGAGCAAAGCAGACACTTTCCCAAAGCCTCCACAGGTGAAGGATTGAGGCTTGTTTCTGTGTCCAGTCACGCTAAAATTCAACAAGAAAAATCATGCCCTGATCAAGTCTCTGAGTAATCCAAGTGAAACTAAGTGAAAGGGCAAAACACAAACCCAGGGAACAGAGAGAAGAGTGCATGAAAGCTTGTCTCAAAAATTGACTTAAAGTTTCAATAATATTATTCTTATCATATGAATCTACGACACACTCTAGCTCAAATGAATTGGACCTCAGTATTTTAAAATGTTCTGTAATACAATGTATGTGACGCATGTTCGAACCATTTGAAATCTTGATACTTTCTCTGCCGTGAAATTCTAACCTACATTTTTTCGCACATGCACCGACTCGCCCGTAAACTGTAGTAAGGTCAATTCTTGTTTTACTGACTCTTTGCCTGACATCGCAGTAAGTAGTAGATTATCTTTGTGTATTTTGTTTAAAAAAAAGGTCAAAAAGCACTATTGCAGTTTACGCACAGACGCTAGTGCAGCCACAGGTGCCCTGGGGCGGGACTGGCGGACAGACTGGCATTTACTCATACCTGTTGTACATGTTTTGATAGTGGGGGAGACTGGAGCACTTTGAGAAATATATACATCTTTTTTTTTGACTACTGCCTCTATTCCATGGATCTATTGTTCCCACTGCTCTGTACTGTGTAGGGTGGGTATTTTCCAGTGGTTGCCAATATGTACATTGACAAAAGACGTTTTCAAGCGATACAATTCAGGAAAAACTTTTGCTTGGCCTTTGCATAATTTGAATAGAAATATCACATTATGGGTGCTTACATTTTTTGAAGATTGTTGAAAAATTGTATGCTTCTGTTTCTTCTTCTTTTGTGCATTGTGTGGGTATAATATTTTTTTTTTGGGACGAAGTTTTAAAAAAAGATCTAAAATATATATGTACAAAAATCAATATTATTAAATGGAAAATCTATACTGCATTTCATTTAAAAGCCAATATTTATCTGAAAATCCCTCACCTCTGCACAGTGCTGGCCTCTTTCTCCGTCTCCACATCTGGGACCTCCGCCTCCCCCGCCTCCTCCACCTCCCCCACCTCCCCCACCTCCCCCGCCTCCCCCGCCTCCTCCAGAGCCTGCAGCAGATCTGAATCGTCCAGCTCTTCCATGTCTTCTCCAGGGGGCGCTGTGTTTGTCCTGCCCTCGGTCTCGGTGCTGCAGCCGGGTCTTGGTTCCGGTTCCACGGACGGTTTGTCTTTATGCTGAAGGAACGCGTCCAGTTTTTGAGTGCGGTGATCGGTTCGGACCATTTGGTGAGCGTAAACACGGTCAGAGGATTGCGACGTGGAGGATTTGGCTTCTGAGCTCTCAGCAACAGACAGACCTGGAAGTAAAGTCTGAAAAGGACACGGTGTAAATGAATTGTATCACTTATCACAGCTCATTATAAAAGTGAAACTAGGAAAATTGGAAAATTGTTCAAAATTCAACATGACATGTGAAACTAATATGACACACATTAAACGCAAAGTGTGATGTATCGAGCCTTTTATTGTCATAATGTTGATAATTGGTTCATAGCTTGTAAAAAACCCACATAAAATTAGAATTATAGAACAAATTATTAGAAATGATAATACTTTGAAAATGGACTGATCATAATCATTTTTGCATGTAATGAGTCTATACCAAGTAGATTATAGAAATAAATGTGAACAATATTCTAATTTCACGAGTTTTAAAAGATGTCATCACCGTCTTTTCTTAGTAGCTGAAAATATGAAAATAATAAGTATTTCTCAAAAACTTCTTATCTGTCAAGAAATGTCTCACAATCTCAATCATCCCATGGGAAAATCGCACATGTTTTGATAGATATAAAATATAGAAACCAAACTATTAGTATGGCAACGTTTTACAACCCCAAACCCTTGAGTCTGGCAGAATTAAAATTATAATATTCTTTATGACTGTTTCTGGTTTTCGGCCTGTTGAAAATTACACGTCAGCAAGTTTATCAATGGTGCTTTAACTATTCCCTGCACACGTCTTGGCCTGACCTTTACTGCAGTCTGTTTTACGGCAGGTTGCAGGGTGTGGAGTCTTGTTAAAATAGTTGCAGCAACAGAAAACAAAAATGCTATCGCCGCGGTGATCGGTGCCAGAGCATTTTTTGCGGAGCTGCTCGTTCAGTTCATACCTGTGTGAAATACGTCCGCGAGGAGTTGGATCCCAGCAGCTTGGACTCCACGTGTTTCTGGACGCTCTCGATCACGCTGTCCTCGTGCAGGAAGTGGACCTCGTGTTTGGTCGGGTGAACGTTCACGTCCACGTTGTGAGGGGCGATCTCCAGACTAGTGACAAAAGGTTAAAAAGTTACATGTAGAAAAGTAAATGCGACGTTATGAGTATCTCTATGGCTGCCATTGATCTGAGAAAGTCATGGTTCGTCCAAAAAAACGGGGAGGGGCAATAGATTTTCAAACCATGTATTTCAATTCAATTTAATTTATTTTTCGATTTGGCAAATCGAAACTTAACAAGACTTAGGACTTAACAAAGATGAAAACAGTTCAAACACAAAAATGCAATGATAAAAAACCATTGGTCCATAAAGGGTGGATGATCAATGTCCATAAATATCCATAAATACCCCGGATCATCCCCGCTGTCCTTAAACCCTCCTAATGTATTGCCGGATTTAGGCAACAGGTAGTCGCTATAATGACTTCAACTGTAATGTGTGTGTGTTTTTTTGATTTCTTATTTTCTTATGGTCTGGACAAATCAATCAAAGTCAGTGAATTTCTTTCATTCTATAAAAATATTTTTGATAAACTAACAATATCTCTCGCTCATACACACTGCTGATATGGTTTCAACGCCAAAGAACTATCCAGGATACAAAATCGTCTCTTTCTTGGAAGCTATAACATTTCAAAATGAAAGTACAAATGAAGGAGGAGAGTTTTGCCCTGGAGTTACCTGAGATACAGGAACGGGTGAGTGTTCTTGGGCAGATACGCAGCGTAAACTGTCTCCACTGCTTTTTTCAATGAACTGGACTCAACAAGACGATCTGAAACAAGACGGAAAAGCACTAGAATACTTCCTCTAGTGCTACTAATTTTTATATTCATGTTAAGAAATGACCATGAAGCTGATGCACAGTCTACTTTATGATCTGAGTAGTGTGCAATGAAATTAAACTATTATTGTACTACAGTATCTATTGTGTGTTGATAAGTATATCTGAATTTTATGACAAATTTCATGCTTTTATATATGTTTTTGACTTGTTGACAGAGCTTTAAATCACAACTAAAGTAAAGACACATTTCTTTGCTCTGGCTTTTAACTTTTTTTTAAGCTAAAATGAAATTCTTACCATAGCTAACCAGTATTTTATTTTAGTCAATTTCAGTTACGTCTGTTTTAAAAGGTGCTATATAAACAAACTTGACCTTGACCTTTATTGCACCACAAGGAAAAAGTCCAATTTGTGACTTCCCTTTCCTTACAAATGGAAAAAAAATTCTCATGCCAAGTAAAACACAACATATTACCGCCACATTGCGATAACAAAAACAGAGCGAGTTTTGGAGACAATTAAACGTGGAGTTCCTTACGGTTGATGAACAGGACCATGATGCATTTCTTCATGGAATAGTTTGCGTTGGAGATGTATCCTTTCACCTTAAAAGCCAGTTTCTGATCTTCACAGCCGACTTCTATCAGCTCCCTGTCAAATACACACACACTTTAGCACCGCAGGCAAACATGTTACAAACAGGGAGTAGTGGCGTCTAGTCCAGAAAGTAGGTGAAATAATGTGAATTAAGTAGGTGAATTGTCAGAACAACAGCAGTCTAGTCTCCCATCCCAGCACTGACCAGGCCGTGGCTCACATAGCTTCTGAGATATGACAGGATCAGGCTTTCACATGTAGTTTAAACGGTTAAATCATGTCTATTTGCATTCTTCCCATAGTCATGGACCAAATGTGGCCCTGGAGTCTCTGCCCTCAAAGCGGCGCTGACATTGTACGAAGTCAACTTTTAAAATGAACTTTGCTCTGAAAGCAGCTGTAGTATAAGAAGTGTTCTACTCTCAAACAATAACAGAATTATCTAAATAGTGATCAAGACATGACTGTATTCTACTTGCTATTTTTTACCTGCTGACGGCGTTTCCAAAAACTCCTCGAATATTATCTACCACTGACGCGTTCGGCAGAGTCCTCACGTCTGCCACAGTCTCTCCTTGCTGCAAAAACGCAGTCAAATAAAAATATTCTATTCTAAAGTGATCATTTGTGCTGTAGAATAAAAACAAAATTACCTTTTTCACTGAGAAACTTTTACCCGAGTTGTGAATGGCATATCTGCAGAGTAACAAAACAAGAAAATTGAAAACAATGTGTGTTTGCCGTATGAAATGTTTATGTAATGTTTATGTGGACATTCACCGGCTGACCACTTCTACAATCCTCGAGTATTCATCACTGGGACTTTTCAACGCTTTTCTTCTTGTTGAAACGTTGTAAAACAAATCTTCAACCTAAAACAGGCAAACAAAGTCATCAGAGTCATTTATCTGGCTTTATCCCTGACAAGACACAAGAAGTACATCATTACAACACAATAGCATAAATGAGTGACGCTTTGAAATCTCTTTAAATATCTTATCTCTATCTTATCTTATCCGACTGCATTGGTTGAGCGCTCCCTTAGAGAGAATGGAGCTCGGAGTAGAGCCGCTGGTTCTCCACCTCGAGAGGAACCAGTTGGGGTGGCTCGGACGCCTCCAGCAGAGGTGTTCCGGGCCGGTCCTACCAGGAGGCCGTGGGAAAAGACCCAGGATAGACTGGAGGGACTATGTCTCTCAGCTGGCCTGGGAACGCCTCAGGATTCCCGCAGATGAGCTGGAAGAAGTGTGTGTGGAAATGGAAGTCTGGGAGTCTCGGCTTAGACTGCTGCCCCCGTGACCCGGCAACGAATAAAGCGGAAGAAAATGGATGGATGGATGGAATAACAAACATTTTGATTTTGAAATGGATTTACCAGAATCTGTGTGCCCTGATTTCCAGCACAGGGCTTGGGCGGAGCTTTGAGTTTCCCGTCACCATAGCAGGCTCTGCCATAAAATGAAAATATAGCAGTTAGTTCAAGAAATTATCTGCTACTTACTTCTCTTTTCAATTAGAATACAGGTATAATTCAATCAAAACTGCTTAATAGTGACAAATAACACTGCATATTTCATCTATTTATATGAGCTGCATTCATTGGTCTCAACTGAAACCGATTGGACCAAAGGGATTCGCTTGTGCTTCCTATTGTTAAAAATGCAACAACAACAATTATGTTTTCTATTCATGAATAAAGTGTTCATGTGCCGAGCTGGATTCTGGCACTTGTCCCCAAAGGGAGAAACATGATGCAACAATTAAAGATAAGAGATCAAATCAAAAGAGAAAACCGCAGAGACATTTCCCTGGCGTCAAACACAAAAGGTTTGGGTCAAATATGCATTATCTTGTTCTGCTTTGCTCTTTGTCAAACTTTAGACAGGTCTACCTCCAAAAAGAGTGGCATTACCATAGTCTTAGCCAAAAGCAGAAGAAACGGATTTGAACATGTGCGGGCTGGAGCCAATGTCCTTATATGGGTTAGCTTCACATTGTAACATAGGCAAGAGTCACCCCTGCATATGAAGGCATCTGATTGGTCAATCCTTATGGCTCATGTCTGGATGTACAGACAATACCAAAATAAATAACACATATTTTTAACCCCAAAATAGTGAGTGTGACACAAACGGTTACTGAGCTAGAGGAGTTTCAATGTAAGTGATCAATAGGAGCCAGAATAAATTGGAGAAAAACTTTGTCCATGAGCACTTCCCTATTGGGCTTCATTGGGCTAGCGGGTTAGCATTGTCAATCTACAGTATATAGAGTCTATGTACTAAGTGTGTATTATCTTGTACCTAAAAGCGCATTTGGCATCAGCCGTCTTTGTTGTTATGGTCACATGGGCGACGTGGCTGATACTGGCCAAAGCCTGTGTATGAAACAATAATGAGTCCATAATGTTAAGATAATATTATAAACATTGTGTGTACATGTTTGCAAAGGCCTCACTTCTCCTCTGAATCCATAAGTGGCAATGGCAGAGAGGTCTTCAAACGTCTGTAACTTGCTGGTTGTGAAACGCTCGCACACAATCTCCATGTCTTCTTTCTGTGCACAAATATATTAGCTCTATGAAATACACTATACAAAAACTAATCTTACACCTGGGTTTTATAGCTGCTTTAACAATCAGATATTCAGCAATAGATACTTTATAACATTACTATGCTATCCTGATTATATTCTAAACAATGATTAAGAATAAAGCAAAGGAAGGTTTCTCACCCATCATCTGTACTTTTTAGCAAGTTTTCCCGACGTTTCGTCCTCAAACCAGCGGACTTCTTCAGGGAATGAATTCTCAGACCAGCGCGTTGGATATTTAATCTACAACGCGCTGGTTTGAGGACGAAACGTCGGGAAAACTTGCTAAGAAGTACAGATGATGGGTGAGAAACCTTCCTTTGCTTTGACTAATCCCTGTACGACTGAGGGCTTACACAAACTTAATGATTAAGAATGATCACACTTCATTATAACCTCACTGCTTGATTAATTGATAGCTAGGCTTTCGTTCTTCGTGATCTGATAGTATCTTTCTACTTTTCTCCTGCTCTATGTTATGACAATTGCAAGACATAGTGACAGTGTACGATTCACTGGGGTTGCTTTTTGGACTATTGAATTCATGGAATTTCAATGCCTTTTTCTATGTAACGTTTAACAACTCTAAGTACACATTTGAAATCATTTTGCAGAGGATAAGACAGTGGACTCTGGAGCGTGATGTTTTGTTTTGTATTGTAATTTGAACAACAGATAAACCACTCATAAATAATGAATTATTTGTATAACTCACTCTGATCCCTGTCCCATTGTCCTGAATCTGCAGCATCTTCAGCCCTCCATCTTTCACAGTCACCTGGATGCTTGTGGATTTAGCATCAAGGCTGGAAACAATACAACACTCATGATCCAATTGTAACACTACCAAAAATACATCATGTAACATAGTAAGCTTGGGTACAGAACTCTGAAAAAAAGTGTTGAACTATGTAATAATCTCAAAAGTTTTCACATTCATCAGTGTTTCCCACACATAGACTAATCTGTGGCGCACCGCCACAGATTAGAGACCGCCCGCCACAAATTGCGTTTCGTATTATTATATATATATTTTTTTTGTTACGCTATTTAAAACATGCATCGTCTAGTGCCGCCGCAGCGGTCAATTTGACAGCGGGGAGGGGGGTTTAAAATGTGGCGGCCCTTCGTAACTCTCACTCAAGCTACGCGTCTCTCCCACATACAGAGACCTACACACACACAGCCCCTCCCCTTCGTGCACACCGCGTGTCTCCGTCTCCATCAGCGATCATCGCTGTAAGCAGCTGTGTCTATTCATTTACCGCGGTAAAGTGGCCCGCATCTTTCAGCTCTATGAACATGCGGCCCGCATCGGGGAAAAGACGGTGCGCGTTTTGTTGAGAACTTACGGTAACAGCGGAACGTCCTTTCGGAGTCACCCATTTTTATCGAACAGAAAGCGCGCTGGGGTCTGGGAGACACGTTTTTGTGATTAAAACCTTATAGAGATGCCACCCGGCACACATAGCACCAGCCCCCTACGATTCCTCCGGCAGATTGTGAGTCCTCAGGAGGATAGCCACTCTATTGTTTACATATATAAAGTACACAATTTGGTCCGCTAGTGCAATTTTCAAGTATTGTAACTATTTACTGGAATAAGGTGTGCGACTAATTTCACTTGACTCATGACCTTATTATTGCCCTCTGCCACTGTACCAAAGACCAGAAACTTTTACTGTAGAAATATTGAGAAATATTGATTTAAAGTAGCCATTTTGGTCCAAAATAGCCTAAAAATGGTCAAAACATGTCACATTTGATCTACTGTAACTTTTTACTGTAAAAAGGTGTGCGACTAATTTCACTGGATTCACGACCTCATGATTGCCCTCTACCACTGTACCAAAGACCAGAAACTTTTACTGTAGAAATATTGATTTAAAGCAGCCATTTTGGTCCAAAATAGCCTAAAAATTGTCAAAACATGTCACTTTTGATCTGCTGTAACTTATTACTGTAAAAAGGTGTGCGACTAATTTCACTGGATTCATGACCTCATGATTGCCCTCTACCACTGTACCAAAGACCAGAAACTTTTACTGTAGAAATATTGATTTAAAGCAGCCATTTTGGTCCAAAATAGCCTAAAAATTGTCAAAACATGTCACTTTTGATCTGCTGTAACTTATTACTGTAAAAAGGTGTGCGACTAATTTCACTGGATTCATGACCTCAAGATTGTCCTCTACCACTGTACCCCACTCCCTCCCCCCCCCGCCGACCACCACACATTGCCTTCAAACCTGTGGGAAACACTGTTCATGTATGGTTTATTACCATGATCACATCTATAGATCAGTTTTATCAGATAGACAATAGGAAATTGGCCTGAGAGCAGACTGCTGAGGGCTGTCCTCCCAAAGCGTCAAATGGTGATTCACATTTCTCTTTCTACAAAATAGCATATTTTCTAATATGATGAAGACAGCATGTTGTGTTCCCATTTAACTTTCACCAGGTTTTCTATTGGGACAGATTATAAAAATAATTAAAAATAGTTTGAAGGAGGAGTGCCAAAGCCCATCTAATGTTCCTTATTATATAATTTGCACATGTTTTAAGAAAGGGGCAGGCAACTTTTTTTTTTTTTTCTTATTTCTGCTCTTTTTTGTTTGTGTGACAAGACAATTATTAGAACTGTAGTTGAAATATGTTATGTATTGTCATGGCCACAATTTCAATAATAAATAAATACACAACATTTACAAGGGGAAACAAGTTAGGTACCCCAGCTTTTATCAATAAAGTAAAGTAAATTAAATAATATAAAGTTTCATGACAAATAAAAGGCTGGTGGTAATGCATCAAAACATAATGCAGTCAAAACAACGTGCAGTGCGTGATCTATTCGTAGCTTTGACGGTGTGTAAAGTTATGTCTTATTTCTGTTCTTAAATCATTACCAGTTCTCTATCAGTTCTTTGACAGCATTTGCAGGTCTCTGGATAACTTCTCCTGCAGCGATTCTGTTCACAACCGTCTCGTCGAGCCTCCGAATGACCCCTGCCATCGTTAAATACACTTTAAAGTCTTACACCAGCTAAAACAAGCAACAACCTATTTGTAAAGTGAATATTTTCTGTTTTAATATCTCTATGTGAATCCAAAACAACCAGGAAGAGCGGCGTGCATGGCTACCACGAAGATCACGAAAGGAACAGATGACTTACTCTGTTTTAGAAATTTGAGACGAGATGGTTTTAAAAGTTCATCTTAACATGTATTTTATCAACGTACATGAATGTTCACTTTTGCTTTTTAAGTAGCGTGTGATTAAAGTGGTAGGAAATTGCATATAGTTGAAATGGTAAATGTGTTAGAAGTGATTAGTCCCCGCACAAACGATCTTTGTTGCAGCAGCGCGGGTGTCTGCTTCGTGGTCAAATGTCTAGTCAGAGAAACTCAACAGCGCCAAAAGTGCAGATTTCAAAGGTAAAATATTAGGTAAAAGCATACATTTTGATTACATTTCCTGAACATATATATATATATATATATATATATTTCCATTATCATGATTTATATTTATAACTTTTGAAATAATTGTATAAATAAAAAAACTGTTGGCAGATTAGCTTGACTTCACTTCAAATCAATTTTACGTATAACAATGTATGTATTATTAATGTATGTATTACACAATGTAACATTTCGTAGTTCACATCACCTCTTGTTGCTGTGAATGTATTTACAGGTGTTTTACTACATTAAAATATGTGTGTGTTTATAAATGCTATGGAACATTTCTGTCAAAATGATCTCCACTTTATCAATATTAAACCACTAATCAATATAACTATGAGCCACAGTATTACACAAGTATCTCCTTCAAATATGTTCAGAAAGTGTGGGTTACAGTTCAATTTTCAAAGCATTATAACCTAACAACCACATACAAACACACCGTCATTTCAAAAATACATTGTTAATATTTTTTCTGTGCCAAAAGTAAAAATTAAAAGAAAAAAACATACTGGGGCTTTAATAGGAGTATTCTTGTTATTATAGATCTACAGTATGTGCAGTGCATCTTGGAGTCAGAGGCCTGAACTTATATAAGACCATTTAGAAATATTACTTTTGCTTGTCCAGATCTTTGTCTAGTGTGTATTTTGACTTTAACCAAATCCACTTGTTTATTGTGTCATGTGTTCATCTATGTTAACACTCTTGCAGGAATTGCAGCGTCAGCTCCTTTTGAAGTCTTGATGTGTCTTTAGGATTTCAGCTTCAGTCTCGTTGCTAAACTGTTAATTCTTGGCCGCAGGCTGGATGACTTCAGCAAGAGAAAATGTGGAGAACAGAGCGTCCTGGGAGTGGCGCTGTTTGGAGAAGGACAGACGGTGGTTTGAACAAAAAAGCACTCAACAAAGCTTCTTTCATTGTGTATGAGCCAAACAATGACAAAAAGATAAGTTTATATGCACATTTTGAGTGAGTTTTGCAAGGTCTAAGTCTCATTTCAAGCACTATTTAAGTGCTCAGGAAATTTGACATTTAGTTTATGCCTATTCCACTGTTATTATAAGACTATTAAAGTCAAGATGAATACTACATATAAGCGTATTTTGTCCAAATCTCTTCAGTTCATTATTGAGCAAATACAGTGCTGAACAATTTTGCAATTCTCCGCTTTTCCATTACAGTTACAGGCATTTATTGAATGAAATTAAAAGAAATGTCTCCAGAAAGTTGTCTCTTGCTTTATATTACATGTTTATTTGTAATTGACAGCACAGTAAAAGTACAATACAATTGCAGCTTTTATCAATTATTTATTATGTAAATACTGTAAGAAACTGTGTCTCTTGCAAGTGTTAAACGTTTAAATGTTATAAAACATTTACAAAGTTGCAGTGTGATCTTCCTCACAGAAACAGCACCTCCTACTTTGGTTTGTGTCCAATATGTATGATTCACAACATTGGTCGGGACTCATACTCCCTTTTCTTCAAATTACAAGTTGTGGTAAGAATGGCTTTGATGATACAATGTTCCACAAAACTATTTGAACTTCACAATTTCAAAGACATTCAGATAAATTCACATAATGATAATGTTATTTTGTTATTTGTTTGCATGAATGTATTACTTCTTTAAAATCTATGTGTATCTCAGTGTTTGTGGGTTCGTTTCACTATTTCACTTGTCATTTTGTCTCAGTGCCCATAATCAGTGGAGCCTCTGAAATGACGCTGAAACACTCGTTTTACCACTGTACAATTAAATAATTACATTAAGGATCAGTTTCGGTAAAGGGGGAGGTTCAACTTCATGTGAGGCTCTTTTCCTCATATACGGCATTATATAAGATTGACAGCAACAGATTTAAACAAGATTTGTCTTATTTGTCTTGCAACTGCACTTCAAATGACTAAACTGCTTGTTTTAGGTCCAAGATAAGGAGCAGACAAAACATTTATAAGAGCATTTATTATCTTATGTTTTATTGCAGTGTTCAAACATGTTTTAGAATAAGACAAATTTGTGTTCTAACCATCATGATTTATGAATGGTTAGAACATAGTGGGCTCTGCATCTCACATGTTCTGAAGACATAGCAGCAGCAGTTGATACTAGCCACAAAAAATAATATTATTCATCGACATTTACAGACTTTGACAGAAACAGCTATTGTTTTGAGTGATGCAGGAAACCCCCACGTGCATCTAACTGAACCACAAGTGAAATCCAACCAGATCACTGTTAGAACCTGGGGACATGATCTCAAATTACTTTAAACATGAGCAGTGTCTGAAAGGTTATAGCTTTTCAAATATGCACAATAGATATAGACAGACAGACAGACTCATACAATCACAAATATTAAAGCCTACTAAGATAATCTAAAGCATAACAACGCTACATGTAACTCAGGAGTAAACTGCATGTCTGTATAATAGTTTGTATGTTTTTATTTATATTTTGGGCAGATAAGGGGAACATGGTCCAGTCCCAAGAAAACCAGCTGGACGGTTGCAGATGGACCACAGGCCAAAGGGATGGGCTCCTTCCTGTTGCTCCCAAAGGAACGAAGGTTACTCCGTTACATTAAAGCTACAGATCTCACAACCCGCAAACTCTCCAACGTCTATAGACACTCAATGTTTTCTGTCTCATATATCTGCAACAGTTTGTTTTACTCTAGTCTTTGTTATACTCGTGCTATACATTAACCATAGATACATATGGAAACCTGGCTTTTTGTTTTCATCTTGGCACGCAATACAGACCTTCATGCTCAAAATTAAAATATTGTGGATAAAGTTCAAAATATTTTATGAGAAAATATGTGGATTCATAACAAAACACATTTCCAGAAAAAACTTCCGGTGACAAAAAAAAAAAAATTCACACAATGTTTTGACAGATGCACTGTTTGATACGATGCCCATGAGGCGATAGGGCTGGCATGAAAAGTACAGTCGTTGCAATTTCATTTGTGATAACACTAACACATGTCTTTTCAAGTCCAGCAGATAATAACACAACAAACACAAGCACAATACTTGTTTTGTAAATGAAGTCCAGGGGAGGTGAGTGCTTCACTGGGTCAATGAAGTAAAACATATACAACATTACCAGGATCTTTTCAAGGATAATGAACAATGCTTGTGTGAAAGAATGAGCACTACCACAGGGCCTACATCCCCACCGCTGTCAGACTGTACAAGAGTCACTTTAATGGCCTGCACTATATATTGCACAAAAGAGACTATATTTTAACCTTTTTAACATGTTTGCACACTTCCTGTCTTTTTGCACATCCTGAGTGATTTTATCAATGTAAATGTAAATGTAAATTTTATCAATGTAAATTTCTACATAGTGAGATCAATACAGTTTATCTTATCCTATCCCTGCTGTTTGTCTGAGTGGTGCTGTCAACTGTAAATTGGGAAAAAAATCCAAAAAGGGTCTTAAATTTTGGGCCATTCCCCTTTTTGGAATGGCACGGTGGCTGAGTGGATAGCACTCTCGCCTCTCAGCAAGAAGGTCCTGGGTTCGAATCCCGGTCGGACCAGGGCCTTTCTGGGTGGAGTTTGCATGTTCTCCTCGTGTCTGCGTAGGTTTCCTCCGGGGACTCCGGTTTCCCCCTACCACTAAAAATATGTACATGCGCCTCCTGTTCGGCGACCCCGCTCCCATCTCTGTGTGGAGTGAGAGGACAAATGCCCAAAAAATAACAATAGTAAACTGCTTTGTGACTCTGGTCTGTGAAAGGCGGTATATAAATAAAAAGATTAATTACAGTACTTACTTACTTACTTTTTTATGTTGCGGCCTAAGAGATGGGTCATAACAATCATGCTATTCAGAATAATAACAACTTTTTTTCACACGTTAAACTAAATTCCTCATGTGACAGAATGTTAAACTGGTTGGAAAACATTCTGACTAAATGACATGAAACTTAAACTTGAAGTAAGATTATACTTTTGCCAAAGAGGTGAGAACTGTTTTCTTACCACACTCGCAAAACATAACAGCAAATCATTTGTAGAAAGCTGTCAAAAAGATCTTTAAGTCACATAATCTATCATTAAAATACAATCAATGATCATCTATCTACCGGTATCTAAACACAAGTTGAATTATTCTTTGTTTTCTATAGTTGTATGACTTTCTCTTAACTATATACTACGCCTTTAACTGTAACTGACACTGTGCTATAGGTCTGACCTTTTGTCGCTGATGGACTCATTTCATAATCCTTTAGAAATCTAGCCCAGATGTGTGATCTCCAGTCCTCCCTAGTGTTCAGCCCACTCCTCCCTTCTCCTGTGGACTCGCTCTCAGCTGAGGAAGTCCCCATTGTGTTGTGCCTGTGCGTTGTACAGCAGCCATAGAGGATATTATTATGATGTTTTTTCCTGACAACACTGGGATTTACGTCTGAGAGCCATGGAGGAGACATGCAGCAAGGAGCCAGACCCGGTTCAGGAGGAAGAGTTGCCTTTTTGGGACGAGGGCAACATAGAAGAACCAGGTAGGACCATGTTTTATAGT